TGTAAGTTTATGGGTTTATATAATTTTTTATGCTTAAATAATACATGTATTTTTTAATACAATTAAACATATATATATTTCATTTTATTATAAATATTTTATATTTTTGTTGGTTAGTTATTTTGATTTATCATGATTTTTATTAATTTTTTGTCCTACACTGTATAGGCATTGAACTATCTAAGGAGGATCTTCATGATTATACACTTGCTGAGGTTGAGAAATTGCTACGAAAACTTGGAAGCACGCTAAAAAATTTCCGTGATATGCCTTATCCTCAATATCACGTTGATCCCGATTTTTCAAATCAGCTCATTAGCATGGAAAGGAATTATGATGTTAGAGAGTTGGCAGCTAAGCATGAAGCACTGATCTCTGCCCTAACGGATGAACAAAAAGTTGTTTATGACAAGATAATAGGTGCAGTTTCAAGATGTACCGGTGGATTCTTCTTCCTTTATGGTTTTGGAGGTAGAGAAAAAACTTATATCTGGAAAACATTGTCATCTGCATTGCGTAGTAAGGGCGAGATAGTATTGAATGTTGCTTCTAGCGGAATTGCATCGCTACTTTTAAGTGGTGGAAGAACCGCACATTCCCGATTCGCCATAACTTTAACCATCAAACTAACATCAACGTGTACTATTATACCTGGGGAAGATTTGGCAGAACTCATTGAACGTACAAAGTTGATTATATGGGATGAAGCTCCAATGACACACAGGCATTGTTTTGAGGCATTGGATAGGACTTTGCAAGATGTCATGCGTCGCAGACACCCAAAAACTTTCAATAAACCATTTGGCGGAATAGTAACTGTGTTGGGTGGAGATTTTTGCCAAGTTATACCCAAAGGTACTAGATTTGAAATTATCGATGCATCTATAAATTCATCACCTTTGTGAAAAAAAATGCAAGGTACTAAAGCTGACCAAGAATATGCGACTAAGGCAAGGTGTTGATAGCAGCCAAAATAATGATATCAAGGAATTCTATGATTGGTTACTTGATATTGGCGAAGGAAAAGCAGGTTGTCCTAACAGCGGAGAAGTAGAACTCAAAATTCCATCAGATCTCCTTATAGAATAAACTGGTACTCCTGTGGCCTCCATCTGCAATGCTATTTATCCAAGCATTTTGACCAACTTGGAAGTCAAAGATTTTTTAAAAGAGCTATCTTGGCACCTACGAATGATGAGGTTGATGCTATTAATGATCACATGTTGTCACTCCTAGCTGGCAAAGCAACGATTTATTATAGTTCAGATTGCATAGATATGACCGCAAGGTCAGTTAACTCGGGTGATGATGCAGTTTATACAACCGAGTTCCTCAACTCCATAAAATGTTCAGGAATGCCAAACCATAAAATAACCCTAAAAGTCGGAATCCCAATAATGCTTCTTCGAAATCTTGATCAACCATGAGGATTATGTAATGGTACAAGGCTACAAGTCAATGATTTGGTACAACGGGTTATTCAGGCGACAATCATATTAGGAGCTAATATTGGGGAAAAAGCTTTCATTCCACATATGGATATTAGTCCTACTGATGAGAGGATGCCAATTAAACTAAAGAGGAGACAATTTCCAGTAGTTGCATGCTTTGCTATGACAATCAATAAGAGTCAGGGACAGTCACTTTCTAAAGCCGGGTTGTTTTTGCGTCGTCCAGTTTTTACTTATGGGAAACTGTATGTCGCTTTTTCAAGAGTAAAATCAAGAAAAGGTCTTAAAATCCTTATTTGTACCAAGGATGGGGAATTCCACAATCGGACAACAAATGTGGTTTACAAAGAAGTCCTGGAAAATATATAATTCCTGATTTGAAGCTTTTTATAATTATTGACTATTTCCAATACATTTTATAATAATGGCACGAATGATTTATATTGGCGTATGGCACGAATGCTTTATATTTTTATATACTTTTAGTTGTGTCCGATTATCTTAATTATATGCAAACCTATCATTTATTATACACTTTCTTTTATATTTTTATATATTTAATTTAAGTTCTCATATTTAACGTAAAAAACGAAAGAAAATTTTATTCTACTTTGCTCACCGTGCAACGCACGGGTAAAAACACTAGTGATAAAAAATAATAAAGATGAACGAGAGAAATAAGAAATAAATAATATCATAGTAAGTTACGAGTTAATATTATCCTTAAAGGAAAGGAAATCAATACCTTAAGAAAGATTGAGATAGGAGATGATATCATGTTTGTTAGGTTTTAATGTTTTGATAATGATTCATGCAGTAAAATTTTACATAAAAATTTAAAAGGAGAATGAATTTTAACTGCTCATACTTATACATTTCCTTTAAAGATTTATATATTTAAAAGTTAGAGAATAATTAAAATTTATACATTCACCTCATTCTTTGTAAAATTTCACGTCAAATTTTTCCTACGTTTATCATCACTCTTAACGTTCATACATCACTAAATCATTCAAAGGTTACAGCAAATAGAGATATCATAATAAGTGTAAATATATTACTTTTTGGCATATATTTAGGTTTTCCATTGTTTCGGGGAATGGCTATATCAAGATTGCTATAGTTAGGACCAATCTGTCAAACCGGCCAAATAGAAGTGGTTTTTTTTTTTTTTTGGGTATAGATTTTATCTACGGCAAAATAATAAATATATTTTAAAAAATGGGTAAAATATGGTCAAAATTGACGTATGAATTGGGGTTTGGTTTGGACGGACTTTCATGAACCAGCTAACGTCTAAGACTCTTAAAACAATTGATGAAAATCTAAAAATCCATTGACCCAAAAATTTAATTCTAACGTCTAAAACCTAGTAGATAACTTCCCGCAAAAAAAATAATAAATAAAAAAACACTTGTTATTGAGATGGATTATTCACCTTCTTAAAAATGGTTTCTCAAACCAAACAAGTTGTGGTCAGATAGTAAAGACTCTTCCTCCCTTAATTATAAGTCGAGAGTTCGAGACTCATTATAAATATGGAATAATTTCAAATCTTTTAGTCAATTTGTTCACCCATCGAGATATCTACGATGAGCGAAGGAAAGATTAGTCATAAAAAAAACGATAGTTTATCACCACCGGTGATAGTCACCTACTTTCCTAAGCTGCAGACAAATCAGCCCCACTTTGAAGGCGGGCTCCCAACGAACCAGCCCGCCAAGAAGAGAAGCTCCTCGTGAACAAGCCCGCCACAGGTAGAAGTCACCGGCAAAACAATCCGCACTTTCTCATCACCTGTGATGATTATTTTACCCCCTCACATTTATCACCTACATTCCTAAGTTGCTAACGAACCAGTCTATCTCGAAGGCAGGCTCCGGAAAACTAGCCCGCTAGGAAGGGAAGCTCCTGGCGGGGCGATCAGTCGAGAGTTTGGAAATGGTCGAATTTTTATTTTTATGTTTTCTTTTTTTAAGCTAGATTTTGGAAAAATAATACTCCTTCCGGTCCTTATTATAAGGCATTTTGATTTCGTCTTAAGTTTAACCGAAAATGTCTTTTTAATTAGAAAAAAAATCCTTAAAAATATATTTTTATATTCGTTATGTTCTCCTAATTATTATAAAATATTTTTAAGATTTTTATTCCAATTAAAAAGACATCATAGGCGAAATCTAGGACGAAATCAAAATATCTTACAATAAATACCGGAAGGAGCATTACCCGATTCGTTATAGGGTATCTCTTTATATCTTTCCGCGATCTGTCATATTTTTCGAGTTCTGATTTGTTCTAAGCATGAAGTTTTAAGGCATTATTATTTGAAAGATGTTTGATAGAATTTCAAAATTAAGTTTTTAGGGTTTAATAACAGGGGCAAAATCATGGTGAATAGTCATTTTAAGGGTTGCGAATAAACTAGTGGTTAGATTGCTGTCTTTTTAGTAATAGACTAGGGTTCGATTTCCACAAAAAATGAGGTTTTACCCGCATTTAAGTGAGGTCCATTGGGTGGTTTTTTAAAAAAAAAAAAAAAAAAAAAAGTTGTGAATAGCAACTCAGCTTGAAACTAAAAAACAGTAGTAGTAAACTGAAAACGTAATCGAGTCGCATGATTGAATGGATAACACATAGTACATACTCAAATGATTAACGATGACAAGGGCATTCCTTGATCCATAATGGAAATGCCACACTCGCCTTTGAAAGGAGTAAAAACCAAAAACTAAAAACCCCAATCAAGATTTCTAGAATCCAATCGTCACAATACTCATTGAGCTATGTATTTGTAAGTTATAATGATTAATGACTACTTAACCATTTCACCTAAAAGTGTAGCAACAACATGGCCATTGTCATCACATAGTTCAAACCTCAGATGACTCCTATACAGTAAGTATAAAAACAATAACAAAGTTTAAAGTAACAAAAAAATAATGAGTTAGTCAGAACTATAATGTCAAACATCGAATGCGTATTATATCAAAAAAAATATAAAATAACAATTTTTTTAAAAAAAAGACTATTGTAACTACTACAATTGAGATGGTTTGAAATTAAGCCTCCACAAAATATTTTTTGAAATTTTAAACTATTAAAAGTGTATAAAGAAATGATGTGACTTGGGATAAATAGGAGGCTCTTTATCTATGATTACATAATGTTATATATTTTTCCCTAATAAAAAGGTATCAGAATTCCTATGTTCCAAAATAAAAATTTCATATGTTGAACTGTTATTTTGACACTTACTTTATTTAGGCGAAGTAAATATTATTGCTCTTAAATTTAACTATTGGTTATGTATGTGCTGTTACACAGTACAATTCACACAAAGTACAAAAGAAAGAAAAATGTAAATATGCGTTAGCGCCAAAAAAGGGGAGGGAAAAGAGTGAGTGACGGAGTCACGGGCAGAAAACCACCGTGACGTCGTTAAGAGTGCACTTGGTAGACTCGAGCATAGTCAACGTCAGTAATAGTGACGACGTTTATATCTGCGCGGGTTATTCGTTCTGGCGCCAAACGTTCCCGCCACAATCTGCCGCCAAGTTAAAATTAAGAAAATGCCTTTATATAGACTCTAATACTTCCGAGAGTAATGTAATTCATTTCTGGGATTTTATTTCACAGAGTCACGTAGTAAATTATTCTCAGGTTCTCTTTCCTTCCTTAGATCTAGAAAATATGGTGGTGGCTTTGGGTCCGGGGAAATTCTACGGCAGCAGCCTCCCAAGGCCAAGGATCTACACCGACGTGAGATTCAACGATTACCGGGTCGACCCACCGGTTCCGGTCACGGATCCGCTTATGACGTGGGCGGAGGAGGCTCACTGGTCAATGGGGGGTCTCAGCTTCCAGCGCCACCGTCTCCAAGGCCGGATCGAGGGCAGCGTCGAGAAACTCCGGGCGGAGCAGGAAAAGCTCATCAGAAAAGCCCAAAAGGCAGCATATCCCAAGAAGAAGATCGGGGCTTCAACAAGTCCGTCGACTCCGGCGGCTCCGGTTGCCGTGAAGCGGAAGAGGAGGATTCTTGCGTTGTTGGATGAAGAAGAAGAGGAGGAAGAGGAAGAGAGGATGGTGGAGAAGAAGGAGGTGGTTCGGAAAACGGCGAGGAAATTGGGGGATGATTTTGATAGGGTGGCTAATGAGAAGAGGAGAAGTCCTGGAAGAAGAAGCGGTGTTGGTACGGCGGTTCTTGCGGCTGTGAGGAAGCAGAGCCCGAGGACTGAGGAGGAGGAGGAGGAAATCATGGGTAGCATTGGAACTAAAGAGAAGTCTAACAGCATTGATAAGAAAGTGAGTGGCAAGAAGAGGCTGACAAAGAAGGGGGAAACTGCTGTAAAAGGGATGAGGAGTTCTCCCAGATTGGCTATGAGCCAATGATTTCTGACTGCTCAATTGACGAAATCCCTTGTTCGAAATCCCTTGTTGGTTTTCAAGTAATTGACCTGGAGAATTTTACTTTTTGCTTTAGTGGTTTTGTGGGTTTTAATTTTAGTATTGTGCATAGAGTGCTTTGATAAGGTAGAGATGGATGGATGGATGAATGAATTCTGGTACTGTTTATGCCTTTTAAGAATAGAGTATATAACCTTTGGGAGTTCTCAGTCTTGCATCTTTCATGATTGAATCTTTGCCAATTTCAGTATTTTGTTACCTCTTTAGAATGATCACTTTTGGAATGTTAGCTTGGTTGATTAGCTCTGTGCATACTGCATCGTGAAAATTCTGGAGGTTCAGTTTAATTGATGATTGAAATCCTTATCAATGACTTGATCATGTAAAATAGAGATTCATAAGTATTGCCAATGTCTGACAATTGGGGTTGAGTGACCTTATTTTTTAGCTGAAATCAGGCTGTTCTGAACCTAAATAGTCATAGTATGATGTCCTGTTAATAACCGGCGTAGTGCTTTCACCATGTTTTACAAAATCAAACAGAGGATTATGTGATGAAATGTGTGAAATGGCAATCGAAAATGAATAATACATTGAGGTACATCAGTCAATGATAGTGTGGAATTGATACCAAATACTTAAATGGCAGCTTCCATATGCTGCTAGCTGTGATCCAGTAGCTCCAGAAATTTTCAGGATAAAGGAAATAATAACCTGTAAACAGATTGATGAACAGGATTCAGGATTTAAAAAAATCAGCAGAGATTGATTGCATGAGGGGCTTTGGCTATGGAGATTGGTGTAAAGCCACGAATTGCAATCAAAATTAATGTTTATGTCCTTTTTTTTAACAGTTTGTTAAGTGCTTGATGCCCTTATCTCTGATACCGGTTTTACCAACAGGTAAATATTAATCTAGGTTTCCAAACCCTGGGTATCAACATTAATAAAGCTCATCAAGCGATTCAAACCAGACAATGAGATGCATTATCGTGGCAAGGTAAGATCCTCCTTTTAATAGGTCGGGATAAGAGTCACTCAAAAGAGTAGACAAAGAACCATCATTGATAACTTCAAATAAAATAAATTATGTCATCCATTATTATTATTTTACAGAAAAGGAGACCTAAAGGTTGATTTCAAGATATTACCACATTCCTTTGATTGCAATGTTAAAAGATAACTTACGACACTACATTTTTTAATGTTCTCTACTCATGGAATGGTTCCACCGAGAGGATCACAAAGCCGTAGAAAACTCCCAACACCATATGAAGTTTTATCATACAGTTTGGCTAACTTCAAGGCAAGATAACTGTTACTCCCTCCATTCTAAAATAAGTGTTATCCTACACTTTGCACATAGTTTAAGAAATTCTTAAATGGGATAATAAAATTACTTCAATATCCTCAACCAATCTTACTAAAAAAATGTTCACCAATAGTATTAATTCTTTCGAGGGTAATTTTATAAGCTTTTGACAAAAAGTGCATTGAAATGTGAGAACGATACTTATTTTGAAATTTCTTCATTTTGCTAAAACGACACGTATTTTGGAATGTGGGGAGTACTTCAAAAGCATCGTTAACAGCAAACTCCTTTTTTTTTTTTTTTTTCTTTGGACAAAGTTAAGAGCAAACTTAAAAAAAACATTACAGTATTGTATAAAATAGAAAAAGTTACCATTGGCTTGCCTGTACTAGTCGAAGAATTTCTTCTTTCTAGCTTTACAGAACAAGGCTTTCAAGTTTCAATCGACACCAATCTGTTTTAGCAACAGTTGAAGACGACATTCAATTGATAAAAGTTTCTTCAAAAAATAAAAATGAAAAATTTGTAATCGTCAATACTATCTCGACGCGTTACATTCCTTAGGCTCTTATTTCCTTAGATGCTTGATTAATGAAATTTTTCCCAGACACCACTCCAGAATTGAATCTTAACCTCAACAAAAACTAAAAAATACATTCTTTTTAATCTAATTTCGTGACTACAATCTTTTACGCAATATAGATAATCCAATTTTAGTGTCCACGTCATTGAATCTAACACTTTAAAATACCAAATGCATATTTAAAAAGGTTGATAGACATTCAACAACATCAATACAAAAAATCCAACAAATGACATACACCATTGAAATTTGAAGAAATCATCCGATGGAGAAAACGAAGATTCAAAGAACGGAGCAAAAAATAAAAATAAAAAAGCCCGCTAAATCCAGCTTGTCCAAATGCACGCTTACCAATAACAGATCGCCAGTTGTCGATCTGTCATTCTCTCCATTTCTCCTTTTCCTTCCCTTTCCCTCAACCAAAACCAGCAGCTCTGCAACTTGGTTTAGGGTTTCCATACTCCATGAATTCTTTCGCCTTCTTTTTTTAAACATTGAGATTCTCAATCAATGTGGGCTTCATCTAAATTCACGCTTCCCCTCACCTGGGTTTGCATTATATTCCTCAATCTTCATCCCAATCGTTGGCTAAATTAAAAATCATAACCATGGCTTGAGCTTCTACTAAACTCCATTCCTCTGTTATTAGGCAAACAAAAAGGGAGACTTTAGAGTTTAGATTCCTTCACTTGTATGAAATCCTAATTGTTAATAGGCAAGGAGCAGATTAAGCCATCCAAGTTTCAATTTTGATTGAACTGCAGGAACTAATTGCTGGAAGCATACATTTGGGTTGTTTTTTTTAGATTTTTGGGTGAAATGGGTTCATCAGCTTTCTTCATTATTTGCATTCTACATTCAGCCATAGCAACAACCTGCGGTGGGTTCATTATGTTTTATCTGAAGGAGATCTCTGTTTTGGGGCACGGAATCGAGACGGCGAAAAAGATGATGGGATCAACTCCACATGATCAGCTGTTGATACAGACATCTGATTCGTTTGCAGGGCTGCTTCTGTTCGTAATTGGGTTGTTATTGTTCATGGTTGCTTTTGTCAAAGACAGGGAGTTCCAGAACTTCTTCGCAAAGGGGCTTATTCTTATTCATTTGTCGGTCGCACTCTGGAGAGTTTTCTTCGAGAGGAAACTTGAAGATTTAGCTTATGATTGGCCTAGACAGCTTGTTGGTGACTTTGTTCTTGGACTTTCATGGCTTTTCTTTCTTGTTTATTCATGGAGGGAAAAATATGATTGATAAATTATGTATATTATTAGATCTAATGGGCTGCTCTGCTTCCTATAATTGCAGAGATTTTGAGGGATAATGCCAGTGTTTCGATTAATTGGAGTTTGAGGCTTTGTCCAGAATGCATTATTTTCTTCCGGTAACTCGGCCAACCGAATGATGGTTGAATAATGATGTGAAAGTTTGTTTTTTATGTTAGATTTTGTGGCGGAGCAGTCTGGTGTTTTCTCAATGACAGTCTAAGCTCCTCTGCCTGAACTAAAAGCTGTTTTCCACAACTGAGCTGATGGAAATTAATTTTTGGATATAATTTGGTGGAGCTATATGTCCTATTTGATATCTGCCAATTCTTGTATCTTGTGTTGAACTTTATTCACTATCAACTCCAGGGAAAAAAATATTGTGTTGGTGTTGCTGACTTGCTGCAAAACCAAACAGCCTCATTTGACACTCACTCTGATCCCAAAATTATTATCCGTGTTTAGCTTTTTATTTTTTAGTTCAATTTGTACTAAATGAAAAACTAAAACTGGACAATAATTTCAAGACAGATAGAATATTTCTTTGAGAATTTCGTCTCTTGGTTGTCACTGTCACTTCCAAACTAGTATCCTCTTTTAGGGTGTTAAATTCGAGGTTTGATCATTCATCAAACAAAAAATCCTGTCCCGAAATTACTATACAATTTGAATTTTTATTTTTAGTTTAAATTGTACTAAACGTAAATTAGCGAACTGAACAATTATTTTGGAACAAAAGAAGTATTACTTTAACAATCTTTCCATTAAATCAGAATGTAATTTTGATTGAGGAATGCTACAGCAGAAATTGAAGGAATTGTTATGCAGAAGGGTGGTGAACTCTTGTACAAACTTGATCATAAAGTTTGATGAACTAATTGTGTGACTTGTGTTCATCTTGTCTTGTAGTCTCAAACGGTTAAAATGGTGAAATAATAATTTGCGCTTTATGCTAATATGAATAGCTATTGTTTGTACCGAAAAAATCATCCTAAAACGTGAGAAAGAAGGAGTGAAAATCTCCTAAAACATTCAAAATCAAGCGATTGTGGATATATTCTAAAACCGGCCTCAACCTATAATCGAGGACTTAGGGTTCACTTCGGTTTAATAATAAAGAAAAAAAGATATAGAAAGAAGTGAGACAAGCCAAAGAGTGGTAGCCGTCAATTGATTAAAATGGGAAAAAAGAGAGATAGGTAGCGCTGACTAGTTATGGAGAACGTCGATGACGCGCTATTACAAGAGGGAATCGAATTCACTGAAGTAGAAAACGATAAACGACTACCTATTTCTATTAAGGAAAATAGGCTAAAAACTATTTAGGTTAGGCTATACTAGAAAAATATGATAAAAGTACATAAAGAAAAGACGAAAAATAAAGAAAAATGAATGATATCGATGATGATGAATTGAGGTGTTGTTAGGTGTTGTTGCGCGCCGCTGCTTAAATAGGAAAAAGTGGCCGTGACTTTCTTGGGCAAAAAGTAGACCAAATTTGCTTCCAACTCAATTCCTAAAAGATAAAAATTTGGCCGCACAAGAGAAGCATTATTTGATCAAAACCATAACTCCTGTCAAGTTGTCTTTCACGTGAGTTCTGCCCACCAAATCCTTATCAAAGTGGGAAACTAATACAACACTCCATTAAGTCCAAATTAATCCCCCAAAGCCTTGCTCAAAGTGGAATCCTTAATGAAGTAAAAAATTAATCAATTATTATCGCATCAATCATGTGGGGAATCTTTCTCAATCCCAGCCAAACTCCAACTCCTTTTGCGGCCAAAAATACATATTTTTGGGGTCAAACATAAGCCCCCGAACGCTTATATGGAATGGAATGAGATGTGAGCGTTGATAAGCACAATGTCACCAGCAATAAGCATTCGGCATGGCACTAACATCGACATAATGCCAACCTGCTGGAATGACAAAGTAATACGGCACCCACGCCAAATGAGGAACATGATTAAAACGAGGAGTATGCTTACTTCGCCGAGATGTTGCACGTCTCCTTCGAAAATTACCTGTTGTGCCAGAACTTCTTGAACTACGTCGACGCCAAGTATGGTTACCAATGTTGTCGCGACGAACCTTATGAGCTTGTCGGAACTCACCCTCATGTGCAGGAGAACCACTATTCTGACACCCACTATTATTCTCAACCTGAGAGCTTGTTGTTGCGTTGATACTTTCAACTGTTGCATCAATCGTCGACAACTTACTAGCATCTGCAATAGAACTTGCTTGATCGTCGCCGGCCTTATCATCGCCCTTTGACCCTGCAACAGCAGATTTTTTCTCTTGGTCGGCTGCACCCTGAATAATCACATCATTATTAATGTTAGCCGAATCACTACTAAACTTAGCAACGACAACCTTGGCCCCAAATGCCTTGATTCTGCTAGGCCGCATAACGGAAGGTGTAAGCATCTTTGACTGATTTCTTGCAGAACGCTTTTTTTCTCGGCCAATCAAGGATTTCAGCAACTCACGATCTTTAGCCAAATCAATCCTCTATTCGACAGCAGCACCATAATCCAAATAAGCATAATTGTTGTCGTCACCTTCAAAATCAATGCCACTTAATCAGAGACCGTCATCGACCCTTTCTGCAAAGTGAAAACCATGCGGTATTGGCTTCCCTTTATTCCGCTTACTTCTTCTGTTGGCAGAACCTCTCTTGTCGTAAAGCCAGACATGATTAAACTTCTGCTTAACCGACATGGAATCTGTTGCATCATTAACCAATTCAGCACTATTGTTGCACCGCTAACCTTAGAAGCCATCATTAGGAACTGCAACCTGTTGGTCTGCTGCTGCTTCTTCTGGAACATCGGCAACTAAGCATTGTGTTGGTTTAGCTGTCACAGATAAATTGGCATCAGGTGTTGCCACTTGACCTTGCTCCTGCTTGCCCTTAATTTCGTCGACACTTGGACAAACAGAATTACCAGTTGCAGGTGAAATATTTTCACAGCTGTCACAAATAATCTCCTCAATATCATTGTCGTTGCTAGAAGACTCACAAGATTTCCTGCAATCAACTTCAACAAACTCGTTTTCAACAATGATAGATTCATTAGGCAAACAAAACGAATCAGTATACACACAATGCTCAGTAACAACTATAGTTTCAATAATCGGCAATGATTCACTCGCCGAAATTGTATTTAATGGTTGTAACACTTGTTCATTTTCAGCGACAAACGCTTGTTGGGGGTACTCAGACTCTTCCTGCAGGCTTTCCCTAAACTTGCCACATTCAGCATCAAAATCACTAGGCAGTCCTCCTGGTGTCGACGATAAATCTATCACAGAATTTTCTTGCAACGATCTGCTGTTGCAATTGAACTTTCACTTGCTTCTTGTTTCTGCTGAGTTTGTTGTACCACCTGCAGATTTTGTACCTGCGACACTACCTACTGTAACTACAACTGTTGCAACACCTGCATCTGAACTTGCTGAAGTTGTTGCGACAAAACTTGTTGTGATTGTGCCTGCAACAGAACTTGTTGATGCTGCGGTGACATAACCTGATGTGGTTGCGCCTGCAACAGAACTTGCTGATGCTGCAGCGACATAACCTGATGTGGTTGCGCCAGCAACAGAACTTGCTAATGTTGCACCGGCGACACCTATTGATGTTGAAGTGCCTGGATCTGCAATTGCTGATGTTGCAGCGATAAAATCTGCGGCTGCGCCTGCTCATGAACTTTCTGTTGTTGCGGCGACAAAACCTGCAGTTGCTGCGGTTGTATCTGTTGCACCACATTTTCACTAATTAGCATATTGTAAAAATTATGTGTAGCATTTGAATTACCAACAGCGGGCAGCCCCCCGAATCTTGAGCGATCTTGCACCATAGACCCGTCACGCCGTCCGTCAATGCAATTAGATTGCTGTTTCGCGCCATGTTAACCATAAGATTGAGGAAAGCAGCCATCAAGGGTAGCCAGCCGTCCGATATTATTTTCAGCCCCCAAAGAATTATGTCCTACATGTGGAACTGCGGGCTGTTGAGAGATATGCCCACCAAGTGATGATGGACTATAAGAATATGAAGATTGGGGATCACTAGGCGACCTATTATATGGAGAAGATGTATAGATCGGATCCCATAATAAAAAACGAAAGGAAGAATTTTTTTTTTAAGAAGAAAGAGAGATTTTGAAAAATAGAGATTTTTAGAAGGAAAAACCGCCATGATCCAGGAATCAAACCAAAAAGCTTGTCCCACTGGGCGTGCCATTATGTTTGTGCCGAAAAAATCACCCTAAAGCGTGAGAAAGAAGGGGTGAAAATCTCCTAAAACATACAAAACCAAGCGATTGTGGATGTGTTCTAAAATCGGCCTCGGACCTATAATCAAGGACTTAGGGTTTACTTCGGTTTAATAATAAAGAAAAAAAAGATATAGAAAGAAGTGAGACAAGCCAAAGAGTGGTAGCCGCCAATTGATTAAAATGGGGAAAAAGAGAGATAGGTAGCGCCGACTAGCTATGGAGAACGTTGATAATGCGCTATTACAAGAGGGAATCGAATTCACTGAAGTAGAAAATGATAAACGACTACCTATTACTATGAAGGAAAATAGGCTAAAAACTATTTAGGCTAGGCTACACTAGAAAAACATGATAAAAATACATGAAAGAAAAGACGAAAAATAAAGAAAAACGAATGATATCGATGATGATGAATTGAGGTGTTGTTAGGTGTTGTTGTGCGCCGCTGCTTAAATAGGAAAAAGTGGCCGTGACTTTCTTGGGCAAAAAGCAGACTAAATTTGCTTCTAACTCAATTCCTAAAAGATAAGAATTTGACCGCACAAGAGAAGCATTATTTGATCAAAACTATAACTCCTGTCAAGTTGTCTTTCACGTGAGTTCTGCCCACCAAATCCTTATCAAAGTGGGAAACTAATACAACACTCCATTAAGTCCAAATTAATCCCCCAAAGCCTTGCTCAAAGTGGAATCCTTGATGAAGTAGAAAATTAATCAATTATTATCGCATCAATCATGTGGAGAATCTTTCTCAATCCCAGCCAAACTCCAACTCCTTTTGTGGCCAAAAATATATATTTTTGGGGTCAAACAGCTATCTTTGCCACTGTGTATACATTTTCAGTTATAAGATCATGTGCATCCAATTCAAAATCAATTAATAACAAGCGGAAAACTCCATGACACCTATATTGATTGTCAAAGTATATAAGTACCTTAGATTCCCATCTCAAAACCAATTGGCAGTGAGTGGGGTGACCTTTGGCACTTATATACAGAGTCACTTTTCTTCACGGTAGCGATGTGGGACAGATTATACATTCTAATACCCTCCCTCAAGTCTAATGGGTCTTTTGAAATTTTTTCCCAATGGACTTGGATCAAGACAAGAACAGAATAGCCTACGAGTCAACGCTCAAGTGGGAGAAAGCCAGTTATACCGCTGGATCGGTCCACGATAAGCCCACGAGTCATTGCTCAAGTGGGAGAAAAGCCAGTTATACCGCTGGATCGGTTCACAACAAGCCTACGAGTCAACGCTCAAGTGGGAGAATATAAAATCACCACAGGCCACCTCCTGCCCAGAACATCACCACAGGCCCAGCGCGCTCTGATACCATGTCAAAGTATATAAGTACCTTAGACTCCTATCTCAAAACCAATTGGCCAATAAGTGAGGTGACCTTTGACACTTATATACAGAGTCGCTTTTCTTCACGGTGGCGATGTGAGACAGATTATACACTATAACATTGATCAGTTTTTATAGATACACACATGATTTTTTATTGAAATGAGTGTAAATTTTGTTTCATTTATATTGCCTTGAATTAATCTTCATCTTCAGACCATCAAAATTCCTTGATTCATTTTCACTTATGAGTTTCATTTAAATATATAATCTTAAAACCTTGAATCGATTAAGTAAAACGTTTATGATCATTTCTGTGTGGTAACGAACCTAATTAGGTGGTTGCAATATCTTGGTTTTAAATCAATGCTTCCGCTTAGAGTTCTCCGCAAACACCACCGAAAAGCGAAAAGAGATAAAGGTCGTTGTTGCCGAAAATGTAAACATCACCATGGACTACACAGGTATATATAACTTTATTATCAGTGGGCTTTTTTTATTTTATGAAGTTGGCGTTTGCGTGTGAAATCAACCTACTTAGCACTTTTGTTCTTCCCTTCATTCCCACGCCATTAACAGACTCTCTGAGTTGGGTTTTAACAGACCTTTTTTTTTTTCCAGTCGGAATTATATTATTAAAGACACCATGTGATTTTTATTGGCTCCCCAACAACAGCACCAAAGTCATTTTAATATGTAACTTTGTATCAACATAAGTAAAATTTATTTATTTTAGAATGGAGGTCGAAATATTTGGTACAAATGAAAACAGTATGTATGCGGATTTCTTGGTGATCATTTTTATGCTTAAATGTTACTACTACTAGCTAGCTATATATATGGCCGGTTTGTTCTATTTCTGTTTCGAGTTGAATGTATTAGTAAACCCAAAAGTGGGGGCGACTCTACAAATTTGCAGAAATTTTCAAATTAATCTGACCGGCCATATTTTGATGCATTTTTGCTATGTTTGGATCGTTTTTTCAATGTGTGTTTTTAAGTATTTTTTGTATTAAAAATGTAAAAAGATGCATTGAAAATGTAAAAAGATATGCTGAGATAGGACAATTATTATTTAATTATTTTGAAAAAACCATAAAAAAACCTTCCAAACAGAGCCAAATTTGTATTCTCCACGTCAACGAAGACACAATCTGAAACGTTGACTAGTCGTCTCCTACGTAGTAAGACCCGTAAAAAGGGCGGGCACATAGTCACACAAGTCAGCCATGTTTTGGAGTCGTTTACCAAAATCTCTTCTTGTACCTTTTTTCAACCTCCCTTGGTGAGGTGATCGCTGGCTGAGGTCCTCTTCCTATTACACGATGTGATTTACAAGTATCTTCCCCAGATATAAAAATATCAAACCTTAATCAACTGTCTTGTCTCTTTTCATAAATTATTATGTGGCACAATTTAGATTAGGAGTTTGGTCACAAAGATTTTGGCCGTAACTGGAAACGCGAACACAATGCACAACATTGAAGGTAAAAAAAAGTTTAGCAAAATGTTAGCCCTCCTCTCCGACTAAATTTCTAAGACTTTGTTTGTTTAGTTTTATTTTTATGATTTTTTTAAATTAATAAAATAATAACTGTCCCATCCCATCGTACCTTTTTACATTTTCAATATACTTTTTACATTTCAAAAACAAAAAACACGTAAAAACATACACTAAAAAAACGAAACAAATATACCCTAAATTGTTGAGTAACTCTTACAATATGGAGATTCCCATTTAAAAATTAAAATGGTTTATTTTTGTTGTACGGTGAGATGCACAATAGGAAATAAATGCCTTTAACGAAAACACATCCTCCTTGGGTCCCCAGAGACACAGTAATATTAGTATATGGGAAAGATTCCCTAAACAAAGTTTGATCAATTCGACCCTCTTTACACTTTCTTCCTTGGTTCGAGTGCAATCCAACTTTGTCGAAAAAAAAAAAACCCAATTCCCTTCTTCTTCCCGAAAACACAACCACCCTTTAAGGCTTTAACTGATGATGAGGAAATAGCACGGAAAAACTGAAGGAAAAAAGGAGTACGAAAATCAGCAGAAAAATCAGAATTAGTCATCAAAGATTCAATCTTGGTGAGCCTTCGGCTTTGACCCTCTTTCAATCTTCAATCATGGCAGAAGAACAAATTATAGGAGAACAACCGCCCACACCCAATTCAATCCCTTCAACTTCATCATCTTCGGACCATCAAAATTCAGCAAACGCATCCTCCATGATTCTGTTAAGGATTATGAGCAAAAGAAGAACATGGGTGTGCTTATTCGTTGGTGTTTACACGGTTTTGTTGTCGCTGTCTTGGAATTTCCTTAAATCGGTCCTTTCTTGGTACGAATCCACCTTGATTGACTCGTCATCTTCATCGGGTTCGGTTTATTCGGGTTGGTCTGCTCTGTATGCATCGGTGGTTCTAGGGGTGGCGTTTGGGATACTCTCTATGGTGGCGGCTCTGGCCGTGGCGGTTCCGGCAACTCTGGTGACGTGGATTACGGTGCTTGTTTTATTGACGTTTTTTGGGAAGCCCAGAAGGGCTTTGGTGACGGAAGGCAAGAAATTGACTGCTGATATTACCGGGTTTGTGGTTAAGGTTCTGATTAAAGAAGGGAATATTGTGGCTGCACTTTGTGCTGTTCTTGGCTACTTTGTATTTGTGAGGAACAGCAGAGATAATAATACTGGTAGTCTTGGGAGTGACTAATTAGGTCAGGTATTCGTTTGTTTTATTTTAGTTCATCATCAAGTATGATAGCATGTGTACAGTGTGTATATATGCAGTTTCTTGAGGGTTATTTGATGGTTCTGTTTCATTTGTAATCTGGCCGAGGCTTCTCAGTTTTGGGGTAAAAAGATGGAAACTTTACAGTGGTTTGAGATCGAAATTGCTTTTGATTGGGTGGGATTTTTTTGGACGAGGAACAAATGAAGGCCCTATCCAAACTGGAAATGAGATTAGTTCTAATATTTACACTTTCTTTAATCTGTCTTTTGATGTTAGAACTTGAAAGTGGTTCGAAGCTGAAAATTTTGTAGCCCTTTTGAATGTTGTAATCTTCTGACATACCATGTAAGTTCCTTCATGAATTTGTTGTTGAATTGGTATAATGTTTATTAGCAGAGACTTGTAATTTTTGGCTGGCTTGAATGTCCAATTCTGTTAGTTTGGAGTGGGAGCAAGCTTGAAATTGCTTGGCGATTTCAGATATGTCAACCTTCCCTCAGAATTCATCACATCATGGGTCACCCCTCATTTTACATTTGGCCACATAATATAATTCATTTCTGAGTTTGGTGTCGTGCGGTAGATATTTGGTTAAGATTCACATTTATTTTGTTTTAAGAGATGTCCTTCCACATTAGGGAAACAAACATTCCTCATTTGTGTTGTATCACTTACTTTTGAGTTAGATTCGTATATATCTCAAATTGGTATCCTTTCTTAATAATTGTCATTTTAATGTGATTGTACCACAAATAAAATAATCATTTTGAGATGGGAAAAATAACTAGTACTATATTCATGTGTGAAGAAAGTTGAAAATGAATGGTATTGCCAAAGTCCAGACCAAAGGATTGCCTTTTACCAAGAAAGCCATTTTCTATTTGCCTTTGCATCTTGGGCCTGTGTTTGGATTGTGATCTTTTGAATATCTTTGAGATGCTTATTTCATTGGATGGGGCAACTGGCCTTTGTGATACATAACCCATTGAGCCCAATCATCATCACAGCCATGAAATTGATTACAGCAATCTCTCCCCTCATGGGCCAAGATGTCATTGGTCGAGTAGCAGTTTAAATAATGAAGCAGAATAAACTTCAACGTTGTTAATCTTAAGAATGTACTATTTTTTGGAGAGAGAGAAAATACATTTTCACCTATTCCAAAAATAATGAATGACCAATCCGTAATTAAAAATTTGTAAATAGTTAATGATATATCTTGATTGGGTTCATCACATTTAGGCTCTGTTTGGTTGGATTGAATTGGACCCAAGAATTGGAATTGGAGGCCCTCAATTCCAATTATTGTGTTTGGCTGAAAAAATAGGGGTTCCAGAATTAGAATTATAATTCAAGATGAGGCTCAATTCTTTATTTTCAATTTTTTTGTGGGAGCAAATAATTACAATTCGAACTCTAGGGGCTTTAGAAAAAACGCGGGTCACATACGGGTTATTTTCCGGGTTATAACAAAACGGGTCCTTTTAAGTTTGAGGTTTTTTCTTTTTTTTTCTTTTTTTTTTTTGGGTAGCGCTGCACATGCGCTTTTTTTTTCCTTTTTCATTTTCGTTTTTTCCCCCTTTTTCTTTTAGCGTTGCTCCGTTGGGCTTTTTTTTCTCTTTTTTTTTTTTCCTTTTTTTGTATTTTGTTAAATTAACATATGTTTTTATTTATGGTACAAACGAGGTATAAATCATATTAATAATTATTAATGAGATCTATATATTAAAATTAGTATTCTTTTAACAAAAACTATCAAATATATAATGACACCTGTAATTTATTTTAAAAATGGATGGTATTAACTATTGGTTAACATTTTTTTATCAAATGCATTTTGAACTATACTTGAAATTTTTTTCACTAAAAATTATGTAAGCTTTCAAGAAGTCGAAATATATATTATTCCATATGTAATTATATACTAAAAATAAAAATTAATTAATTAGTACCTTGTATTAATGTTAATTTATACATAAATGAATGGTCTTTACTTTTAACTATATAAAAATTTTACACTAAAATCCAAAAAAAAAACTAAAGATTAAAAATTTATAAATAATAAAAAAGAGAGGAACAAGGATGTTCTACATGTTACTTGTGAGAATTCCGATCATCACATTCATACTTACGTAATAATAAAAAAAGATTTTCCACAAATATGTATGTATCTATAAATTATAAAATTGATATATATTACTCAAACAACAAAAGTTCTAATATAAATGTATATGATAAATTTATTTTTGTTATCTTATATATGTAAGTAATAAATTGTTTTGATATATAAAATTAAGTATTTATTTTATTCAATGAAATAAAATACTAAATTATAGTTAGATAATAAAAAACTAATTCTAATTCTAGATTTTATAAATTTATAAGGATCCAAACACAAGAATTAGTATTAGAACCTTAATTCTAGTCAATTCTTATGATCTTCCAAACAAAAGAATTAAGATTGAATTGCAATATTAATATTTCATTTTCAATTCAATAGTATTATAATTCTAATTCAATTACAATTCAATCTAACCAAACGGAGCCTTAAAATAATTATACATTTAAATGTTGAACAAATTCTTTTTTTTTTTTTGGTCGTGAACAGGAAAAGTATATTTTCATTCATTCCGAAAATTGTAATAAAATGAATATAGTCAATTCCATAAAAATAATTGGTGATGGATACAGTTTCAAAACTTAAATATCATATTCCTAAGGGGAGAAATTCGACCTGACTGTAATTTCGAAATAGATATAGCATAAAATTGTCCACGGAAACAATTGCAAGGGAAGGAATATGAATACGTACATGTACTTGTGCTGGCTCGTTGGCCGACGGAATATTAAGAAAAGAACTGGCATCAATGTCAGCTAAAGATATTAACACCAAATAAGATATTGATTTTGTCGGTTTTAATGGTCTGATGTTGGTCATAATATAATTTCCCCTTTGAATATACAAAGGCATAGTAGAATATTATTTAGGTCATTATTTAGAGAGATGGCGATGGGCAGTATATTGCGCCGAACATTGGGCGCATCAGGCGGGATTGAGTGCATGAAATTGCGATGAATATGACTTTAATTAAAATTAAAATCAAACCTTAATCAAACCCAAAAAGAAAAAAAAAGAAAAGGGAAAATCGCAGTATTAGATCTCGTGTCACATGGGAGAACAAAGACCTGTGAACTGTTAAAGTCGTTGAAAGTTGAAAGTTCTTCAAAAATCTCAGGTCTTCCGGTCTCGGTGCAGAAGAAGATTTTGGTGCTAATATGTTGTATTTTTTTTTATTTTTTTTTCACTCTTTACTTTACGTCCAAAACTAGTAATTAAATTAAAAAAAAACTTCATTTTCGTATTGTATTCAAACTCGGATGTCTATCCAAAAAAAAAAAAAAAAACCTCAGATGTGAATTACTCTATCCGGTCCTTATTATAAGGTATTTTGATTTCGTCTTAAGTTTAATCTAGAATTTCTTTTTAATTGAAAATACAAACATTAAAAATATATTTTCACATTCATCGTGTTGTCCTAATTATTATGAAATATTTTTAAGGTTTTTACTCTAATTAAAAAAATATTTTAGGTGAAATTTATGACGAACTCAAAATGGCTTATTATAAGGACCGGAGGGAGTATCTTTTTCGCTGACATTAGTAATATTTGTTTGTAATGAGTAATTAACGGATGGTACATACTCCCTCCGTCTCACAAAAATAGCCCACATTGAGTTTTGAGTTTTGTACTGTTTTTAGTACAAATTTGAAAATTCAATGTAGACTATTTTTGTGGGACGGAGATAGTATTATTTTTAACGTGACAATCATAATTAAATCATTATTAGGCCTCATAGTAAGAGAAGAGTTGATAGAACACTTTGGAAACTTAAATTATTATTATATAATTAAACCTTCTAAGGAGAGGCTCACAAAGTACTGATGATTATTATTAGGGTAATTGTACTTTAATCATGTAGCTCATCTCGAAAATCCAAAAGAATACTACTCTCACTATTTCAAAATGTAGGTCGTTTTAGGTTTGGAGAAATATTCAAAAATATAGGTCTTTTAGGATGTTAAGCCAAATTAATGATGAACTTCTCAACTTTACCTTCAATTAATGATGAACTTTTTAACTTTACCCGCAATAAATGATGTTAATCACTTTTCTTCTAGTGTTGGTTATATTTCCAAAACAATTAATGATGGGTGAAATAGATATTTGACATACAAATTAATTGTTACATAATTATTTTCTTAGTTTACGTGCAATCTCTAAAATGATTTATATTTTGAAATGGAGGGAATAGTACTAGTAGTAATAAAGTTGAAGTGGTGGCCACTGAATGGTTTTGATTTGGTTACATTTGGAGCTTTTAAGTTGAAGGCAGGAAAATGGGAAAATGTCGGTGGAGTGGACTATTCTGACTTCCTTCAAAATCGTTATTATTTTGTTATTTTGGCTCCAAAGTTTGTTTTGATTATTGCACACGACTGGAATATTACCCACTTTGGGAAATTGTGTGTTTCTAATTATAAGCTCAACCTCACCTGAATATGGATACTCGACCCGAGTTATATTTATTGTACAGTTATATTTGCACTTTGCAGTATGGAAAGTGGAAACAAGAAATTGTTAATTTTTATTTTTTTTTTCCAAATTCAAAATGAATGATTTTGTGCACTTCATAATCATCCAAAAGAAATTGCGACGCCCGCGATGCAATTGCATCACATTATCTAAAGATTATTCATGAAAAATCAATTTAGAGTCGTAATTGAGACTATAAATAGATGCTGAGACACGAATATGATCGACCCCCCTTTTCTATATTTGGGGAATTCTTCCTCCCATTTTTCCATTTTAAGACCTTAGTTCATTTTAATCCTCTAATGAAATAATCATCATTATTAAATAATATTTGCTTGCTTGTTATTTTTAAACAATCACAATGATCGCTATCATTATACCCAATCTTGTAATTTCGGTATTTTTTTTTAAAGGGAAAACCAATGGGTGGATTTCCAAGATTTTGCCCTTTACCAACTGAATTAATTTACTTTCAAAACTTCAGACAAATCACATTCTAATCTGTGGGTCCAAAAATCTTAATTTATTCTCTATTCTTTGTATAAGAATCTTGAAGTGTTTTAAGGGAGTACATATCGATAGGAGCTAAGTAATTATTTATACTCCCTCTGTTATTGTTCAGTTTGATATTTCAGTTTTAGTATAATTTGAACTAGAAATGAAAACCCAAACTAGACAATAATTATGGGACGGAGGGAGTATTTTTTTTAAAAAAATATATTATATTCTTATAATAATTCGTTTAAAAGTAATTTTTTTTAATACTTACTCCAAAAATCATTGATAAGTTACTCCTTGATTTACCTAAACTGCTGACATCCAACTTCCTTGATGGACTATTGCAAACTAATGCCAGTCCTAATAATTGTAATCAGTTAGTTAAACTTGCTTCACTAGTAATAACAGGGATATTTTCCTATTCACAGACTTTTCCAAACTCATTATATCAATTTTTAGAGATCTAATTGCGTTGTTACGGTTCGGGACGTATCAAATGCCCACTTGACTTGCAATAAACAGAAAAGAAAACAAAATGGTGACCCCCAAATAATAACCATACATTTTGTCCTTTCTTGACAAATAAAATAAACAAAAACCATTATATTCTTAAAGTTTTTCAATCAACTGTATTTAATTGTAAAGTTGTGACGCACACATCAATGATTTTATTCAATTCCCCCTTTAAATCATTCATTCCGTGGTTTTCTTCCATTTTCTTGTTTTGCCCTTTTGGAGTGGTGAAAATTTTTCTAGATTGGGTTTGAGTGTTCAAAGTGTAAAGCATCTATCTAGCCAGGCAAAATAGCTACATTTGAGACTAACATTGTACCACAAAGCAACAAACTGTGTCCTTAAAAATTTTGACTGAAAAAATAATTTGGAAGGGGGAACATATTAGGTGTGCTTTCCCTACCTTTCTCCAAATTGGGTTTCAAGGGATCATCACTCTTAGCCCTGTTCCAACTTCCATCCAGCTTTCTATACCATCAATCAACCTCCCCATGGTTTAGGTCTTTATAAGCTACAATTTCAGCCACAGGGTTCAAACCGAAACTGGGAAGAATCCATGATACGCTGTCAGTCATCATATTTAGAGCCCCCATTTTTGATGACTTTAGGACTTTGGCTGTCTTGCAAGTGAGTTTTTGGGGTACCCTTTTTTTTGGTTTTTGCAGAAGGGGGATCTGGGATTTCTGCAAAGTCTTGTCCTTTTCTGCACAGTGTCTATATTTAGGAGGTGAATAGAGATAATAGTTCCATAGATATATGGCATCAGAAACTCAATATTTAATGCTGAGATTTCTGTAATTTGCTGATTTGGAGTCCACAAAGTTGCCGTCTTGGCATTTATTATTTTGCAGCTGTTTTCTTGATTTGGAGCTGCAACACAGTTCAAGATTCAGTTTTTATATAACGGTTGGTGGGTTGGTAGTGGTTCTCCCATTATTTCATTTTCATGGTTAAGTCCTTTACTGGCAGAATGGGAGGAGGCAATGGCCTTGTCTATCCTATTCTTGGGTTTGCATCATTTATTGCTTTCTTATATCTATCGTTTGGAGACCTGTGGATTAGTCATAAGATTGAAACCAAGCTCAGTTTTGTGGAGAGGAATGGGACTCAGTTCTTTTTGGATGGTAGAGTTTTTTATATTAATGGTTGGAATTCTTACTGGTTAATGGACCATGCCGTGGATGAAAGGAAAAAACCAAGGGTGAAGGCAATGCTTCAAGTCGGAGCTAAGATGGGTTTCACTGTTTGTAGGACTTGGGCCTTCAATGATGGTGATTACAATGCTCTCCAGGTTTCTCCCGGTCGGTTCAATGAAAAAGTATTCAGGGTAAGATTTTCTTTTGTTGTTTTGGTTCTTTTTACCTTTTCTCAGTTCTGTGTTCTCATTTGTTCTGTAGAAGGTTTGCGGCAGGGAGTTTCATGATTAATAACTCTTCTATTTCTTCGATCTAGATTAATGGTGTTACTATTAATTTTACAGTGGGTTCTGGTTTCTTGGTCAAATTTGGACTCTATTTTACTTTGCTGTACGTTTCGAATCATGAGATGCCAAAATTAATAAATTTGTGCTGCTGTTACAATTGGTGATTGCCAACCACTTGAAGAAAACAAGAAAATGCTGAAGTTCTTATGATGTCATAATTGTGCTGTTTGCTGATTGGAAAATTTTCTATTGACATTTAGGGGTTGATTGGGAGGCCTTAATTTTACGGTTTAAATGCAATGTCCTTGCTTTTACTGGTCTCATCTATGACTTAGCTCTCTCTGTAAATTTGTGCTGTGGCAGGCCTTGGATCATGTGATAGCTGAATCCAGGAGACAAGGGATTCGACTCGTCCTTAGCTTAGTTAACAATTTGCAAGCATATGGTGGAAAGACTCAATATGTCAAATGGGCATGGGAAGAGGGTGTTGCTTTAAGTTCTTCTAATGACTCTTTCTTCTATGATCCATCCATCCGTCATTACTTCAAAACCTATCTAAAGGTAAAGGTTACTTAACCGTGTGGTGAAATGTACTATGTCTTCCTCTAATTTGGTGTTAAGCTTAAATTGGTAATAATGGCTAAGTGAGCCTAGATTATTTTTTTATTTTATTTTATTTTATTTGTGTTGTCTCATTAGATAGCTGCTGAAATCATCATCTAAGGGAACTTCAAAGCTTCAGTTTCCAATTTCAGGATTCTGACAATTTGTCTTTTGTACATCATTAAGCTGCTATTTGCTGCTGAACATCATATGACATTACACCGGCCTCACATCTCTGCCTAGCATTAACAGACGCTTCTAACAGATGCTTTGTCTATGCCAAAGCCGAATCTATCTAAATTGATTACAACACTTCTATCTCCATAGCGATAATTTAACTATTTTGAGATTTCACACAAGAAGCCTTATTTTGTCCTGATGCACCTTGTATTTAAGAGGTTTATAGAGAAGGAAAATATTAGATTCCTCAATTTTCCGTTTGTCCATGTTCTGTTTTGAGGAGGCCATTTGTTGAATTATCTTTACGTCACTAGTTTAGTACACCCATCTCAGCTCATTATGTGTCTGTCGGTTTCTGGGATATCTGCTGTGTGCTGCTTAGGTATGCAGCATAAGTTGAAATGGTAAAGAAAGGTAGATTTCTAAAATAGGACCTGTGTGCAAGGTACCATAAAAATTTTCAACTCATTTCTGGGGATTATCATGATCTAACATTCAATTTCTGGTTTATAAATTTGTTCCTTATGCATACTGTCCAGCCCACGGGAACAGTACAAACTGTTGTGGAATGTCATTCGTGAGTTCTAGCTATTTTAAGAAAAAGAATTTCTTCGAAGGAACACACCGGGCAAAAGTTTCGAAGAAAATGGAAGGAAAGGATCCATTCATTGTGATCCTTTATTCATGCTTTTATATTAGATGATTATAATATTTTTTTTTCTTTTTTGAATATCCTTACATGTCACTTATTATGCATAATGAGCCACATCTGATACTTCCACTCCCATATTTCCTGGACCATGCTAAGACTCTGGTTGTACATGGAAACCTTTGTTAATTCAATAAATGAATTTTTAATTTGCTGAAGCAATCACCGTTGGCGTGGTTGATCAACATTTGTTATAATCTAATCATTCTAACTTCTTTCTTGAACAGACCTGGTAAAACTCAGCACTTTATTGCTAACTTGTTGTACCCAATTCTGAGATGTGTTAACTGTGAATAAGATCCTTATCTTCTAAGGTAGTTCTGTTTTTATATAGTTGATGACCTATCGATATTCCAACTCTTTGATTGCAGACGGTCCTTACAAGGAAGAACACAATTACTGGTCTTGAGTATCGGGATGACCCAACCATCTTTGCATGGGAACTGATTAATGAACCCCGCTGCATGACTGATGCTTCAGGTGACACCCTCCAAGTAAGTTATTTGATGGCCTGCTAGTACATTAGTTTCTTTAGTGTTAAATAAGCCTAGTAATCATATGTATATCATAGGCTAGTCCATTACTTAATGTCTTGATCCTATTTGACTCGAAGAGTTTACACTAATCTGACTTCAAACATGTTTAGAGCAGTTTCTCGAGCCTAAATTCTTTTTGTTAAGAGTATGGCAAAATTATGGGACATGAACGTAAAATTGTGTCCTTGCGCTATCCTGGAAACAATTCTGTTGAAAATTATTGGCAGCATTTTGGACTGAAATGGAGCATTGGGATCTTTATTCAATTTAGCTCTGTGCAATCACATGCTTTTTTTATTTCAAAAAAGAAACAGAGTGGAAGAAATTGAAACAGTATTAGGGTCAGAACTGAGAAATTTTTTGCTACTTACTAGACATTCTAAGAAGTATACTCTTCTTTTCTCTTGTGGTGTACTTTTCCTGATGTACTTTCTCTAATGAATTCTACTAAAGGTTTACTTGCGCTAATTCATTTGCAAAAGTAGAGATCCAGTTAGCGTCTCCACTTGTTATGAAAGTTTTAACTTCTCTTCTAGCAATCTCGTTCTTTGATAGATGTTAATCTCGTGGCATGGGTGCTCATGCAAGTTCAATGACATTGCAGGATTGGATAGAAGAAATGTCAACATATATAAAGTCAATAGACAGGAACCATCTCTTAACTGTGGGCCTTGAAGGATTCTATGGTCCGAGAAGCCCCAAAAGGCTGAACGTCAATCCAGAGATCTGGGCTGCTGATCTTGGATCTGACTTCATACGGAATTCAAAGATTTCAACTGTTGATTTTGCATCTGTACATATTTATCCTGACCACTGGTGAGCACTTTGTTTCTTTTAAGGCATCCCTCTTTAACATGAGAAATCACATTCGTCACTTAATGCTGCTTTGATCTTTCTGCAAACACTTTATGAACCTTACTGTTTCAAACACTAATGTTTGAAAGAAGTAGATGGGAAAAGCTTGTGCGAAAAGTACAAGTACCATTGTTGAACATGATCTTGTCAAATGATGCCATTACCTTTCATTATTTTGTCAAACAGCTTCCATGCTTGTCAGTTCTTGTAACCCATGGAACAAGTGATTTTAAAGCATGTGTTCATTTTCTCAGGTTCCATGATCAAAACTTTGAAGAGAAACTTAAGTATGTGGCCAAATGGATGCTTTCCCACATAGAAGATGGTGATAAAGAACTGAAAAAGCCGGTACTTTTCACCGAATTCGGATTGTCAAATGAAAACAAGGATTTCACCCCGGATCAACGAGAGAAATTCATGAAACTCATTCTCGACATCATTTACAAGTCCGCTAAAAGAAGCAAGGCCGGAGCAGGGGCCTTTGTGTGGCAGTTTTTCGTTGGCGGGATGGAAGAATACTACGACGATTTTGCCATGGTTCCATGGGAGAGGCCATCAACATATCAGTTATTCACTAGACAATCATGCAAGTTGGCAAGAATTCAAGGAGCTTTGCCTACGCAAAAGCAACATTTGAGAGATTTTTGTTCACAAAGACTAAAGTGATCATAATACCAATGAAAAATGTGGGAAAGAAAATAGGCCATACAATCATTTCTTTTGGTCCCCTGAAAAGTGAATGCTATTAATTATAGGTTTTTTTTTTTCGGTTCTATTCCTTTGGCTATATGTTTGTTCCCTAAACATGGGGTTTTCAATAGTTGCATAATGTTAGTTCCTCACTAATCTCATAAATATCATATTGGTGGTTTGGGTTTACAGTTCATATGTTTGCCGACTGCCTAAGTCCTTTTCATTTTTTTTATCCATAATTTTGGGCCACAATTTTGTATTTGACTATCCAGAATAGTCAATTGACATAATAACACCTACAATGTTGTCCTTCGCTTTTTGGAAGTTTTAATGGGAAACACTGATTATTTGTGTAAGCTGTTTTTTCTTATCTGCAAATTTGCGCCATAATGTTATCTTCGGCTATCCAAAAGAGTGAATTAACGCCTACACTACATTGTCCTTTCCTTTTTGGAAGTTTTAATGGGAAAAATTGTGGGTATGTATGTGTAAATTGTTTTTATTTACTCCCTATTTTTCAAATTATTGTCATGCTTTTCTTATAGTATCTAAGTACAACACACTAAAATTATCATAGGATAAAATTATCATAGGATGAGAAGAGTATGCTTTAAGTTCTCCTTTAACAAAATACTCCAACATGAATTGAGATAGGACACATAATTGCTTCTCTTATACTGCTTTAGTACACCAAACATTATAATCATTTTGGGATGAGAGGAGAATGCGTAAGTTCTCGTTTAACAAAATACCAAATGTTATTCTTGAAAAATTACTTTAACAACCTGCTTTTCACTATTTTTTTTTTCTGCCCTTACAAATGCAGCAAATCACTACAATTTATTTAAATTGTACTTCGATCCAAAAGTTAATCTACATTATAAATTGTGAAAATAGTACAATTTTCAAATTTCAATACAAGAATAAAAAACCAAAAGCTCAAATGCAATTGATATTTCCAAATTGTACTTTTGCCCTGAAAAAATAGTACAGTTTAATAAATAATTTTGTTAAAAAAAAACTATTTCAAAAAGTCTAATTGAAAAGAGATCAAATGACTTAATTATCCCTCCTTTCTATTATTAGTTAATTATTATCCTTCCCTTAAACTCAATTAATAAGCAGGAGCACAAATGAAATTTTAGATCATAAAATGAATTATACCTTAACTGGGCCACTAGTATTTTTTCAGCTGCCGGAGTGGCAGTGACTAAAACAGAAAGAGAATTCCGATTAATCGGAAAAAACAGGCGGTGAACTAGGGTTCAAAAACGAAGGAAATGGGCACCCATTTTTGGGAAAATACAATTCAATATCAAACTAATCCATAATGTCTTGTACACCTCAGATGGACTATTTGTTTTTTTTTTCCCTTGAAATTTACATTGAGAAAATTTACATTCGATTTTTGTCATTGAATTCAAAATTTATGGAGTCGTCTTATAATGCGAGAGAGTTGGGTATTTGTTTCCTAATAGATTTAAAAAAATTATCCAAATTAATAAAATAATTTATCAATAAAATTAGAAATACTAATATATTGATAAGAGCAATGGTAGAGGTGGTAAGGTATAGGGAAAACTTATACAGTACTAATAATTAGGGTAAAAGTGTAATTTTGGGAAAAAAGTAAAATTTAAACCAAAAAATACCAACAAAAAGGGGTCATAACACTCCACATCATTCACTTTTTTTTTCAGTATGTATTTCATTATCGCATCGATAAATTAATAATCTCTATAAATTAATAAAATTTTTTATGGACCCAACAGACAACAAAATTAATTTAAAGAATTTTTACTATACATCCTTCGAAAGCCACTATTATTTGTAACAATGATATATAAAATCGAGTTGACATGGAATAACGTTATATAAGAATTTAAAATATAACAATATAAATTAAGTTAAACTCGACATGTATCAAACACAACATAATTCTGATTGAAATTTATAATCTTGATTTAGCACAAAGATTAAGATAATTAATAATTCAAGTTAGGTACAATTATAACTTTTCATAAACTAAAGTTATCACTTAGTTCAATTTTTTAAGTTATAAAATACTCCCTTTGTCCCAAAATTATTGTCCAGTTTGAGATTTCACTTTTAGTACAATTTGAACTAAAAATGAAAATCCATACTGAATAATAATTATGGGACGGAGGGAGTAATTAGTTAACACCACTCATGTAAAAGATTTTAACTAAGATTTAGGTATGTCTTTTTTTCCCCTGTTTTTTCAATGATAGCTTTCAAATTTCAACTGTCAAACTTCACTAGCTGAAGATTAATAATCTTAAATAAATTTATTTTATGTCAAAATTTTAAATCCCAAATTTAAGGGTAAAATAAAATCAATCATTCAGCCAATCAAATGATCAATCATTGATTTAGATGTACACCCCAGTTTCATGACTAGACTGGTTATTCTCCAATCTCAAAGTTAATACTACTCTATTATGCCGTAGGATGGCCACCACCCGATCATTCCTATATACTCCTTTAATTTTAAATAATTATTAGTATGACTTTAAGCATTTTTTAAATGGATTTTGTTCTAACAGTTGATCTGAATAACGTGTCAAATCCAAACATACATTCGTTCTCCAAACAGTTCCCAAAAAAAATTACTGTTAATTCAGAAATTAATAATTTCCAAAAATGCTCAGATAAAAAAAATCCTAATTATTTATTAAAAACGCTAAAAAAGGAAAAAAGGTATTTTTTAAATACTCAAAAATTCAGTCATTATTTACTGAAAAACTAAAAACTCTAGAGAAAAAAAAAAGAAAAATGGAAACTCTCTCCTGCCGATGACTAAACTCTGCCGGCGAGTTTCCAAATTTGTTTTTTTATTATCATATTATAATAAATAATAATAACAACCACAATATTATATAAAATGATAAATATCTCTGTTCATATTCTTTGAGATTGTTGTTTGATTATTTCTCCGTGTTGAACAGTCAAAAGAGAAGCAAAACATTATTATATTTGTTTTAAAAAGCAAAGAAGTCATTTTTTCATTTTTCCTGTGGCAATAATTTCAGTGCGCCACTAAGCGTTTACATTGACACAGTGGTGAAAATCATCTTTTCGTAAGCAAAGTTTAATCTTTTTTGGTTTTTTGGGTTGCGAATTTGACTCTGGGTGGCCTCATAGAATGATTCAAGTTCATTCAATTTCGTGTAAGTAGGATTTTTTTTATTTTTTATTTTTATTCTTTTGGGATTAGAGTAACAAATTTGAGACTTGGTCTTGTTTGTATCTTTGTGAGTTTGTTAGATTATATGTCAGAATTGGGGTCTAGATTTTATTGGATAGTTGAAATTTCTGATGGTGACAAGTTTTTGTTGATGCGGCTAATAATGGTGGGATTACCGATTTTAGTGTAAAAAGGAAGAGCCTTTTTTGGGTTGATGATCAACTGATCATATTGTTTGATAATGGGAAATCTCTGTGGAAAGCCTCCGGCATTAGTCAAAGATAGTGAGGAGACTCCGAGGGGGAGGAAATTAGTTAGAGCTTCATCAGAATTGGATGTGACCAGAAGAATTGGTTCAAAGGGACAGGAGAGCTTCCGGGTGAACAAGAAATTCAGTAGTGGGGAGATAATACCTCAGAAGATTCATTTGAAACCAAATGCTTCCAGAAAAGTGAGAGATGATCCCTATGAGAAGAATAGGGAGTACAGTGGAATTCTTGTGTATAATCATCCAGGGGCAGGGGTTATTCCTAAAGCTTCAGAAGGTGAACTGATAGCAGCAGGATGGCCATCTTGGCTTGCTTCTGCTGCCGGTGAAGCTATCGTAGGATGGATTCCTAGGAAAGCAGATACTTTTGAGAGATTAGACAAGGTAATGATCTGTTACTACTTAAATGGACTGCAAGGTTGCAAATTAGATGGTCTGTTTTTTTCTGTTGTTGGATGTAACTTTAGCTTAGTTGTTTTCCATTTCTCTGTACAAATGTCATGTAGAAAATTGTCAATTTTCGAGGTGATACAATGTTTCATTGTATTGGGTGTTGTTTGGGTTTTGTAGCGTAATTGTTGGTAACAGATGAAAAGAGTTCTTCATTTGTGTCATTAACCGGTTTTGAAGTGTAGGTCTTTAAGATGATTCATATCTGTTTGTTTATTTGGCCTTGAATAGGAATGTGTTTTCCCATGTTTAATTACTAAAGAATTACAGTTGCAGAGATTAATCTTAATTAGTAAAGGCTTTCTTGTGTGACTGAAATCTATGATATAGTCTAGATTTGAGCCCTTAACTACAGTTCTCTTGTTTGTCATCTTGCTGCTTCTCTGTAAAAGGCTTGAGAATAGTATTTCCAGATTTGAGATCCTACTGATTCACCCAATGTGAGTGGAAGGATGCGCAAACTCAGTCACTTATGGTTTCTGATAGTAGGAATTTGAATCTTGCACTTTTCACGTAATACCAGATCTCACCTTCATTTTAGCCTTTGACATCCAACCTCGATATTTCATTCTCCCCATTACGGTGTCTTATCATATAGTTAACTTGATTTTCAATGTCTTCCATTCTGTGCCGCTAGGTTGTCTTCTGCTATTTCATGCTTCTCCCTAGTAGTTGTTTATCCATCTTCATTGCATCATATTTTTACTTATTCTGGAAAAGGAAAAGGGGGAGGTAAGGATTTATATCTTACAATGTCATCAATTAAATATAACTCGTTCTGATGGATACAGAGGCCAAAATGAACATGGTTATGTGGAGGGAAAAAGTGTCAGAACTACATGATTCTTGTCCTGTGTAGTGTTCTTACACATTTTCCTTACTCATTCAAAGTAATCTGTGTTTGAATCAGATCAGTTGGAAACTGCATCTTGTGCTGCATGCTTTATTCATGAAGTAAAATGATTGACTTTTGGGTTTGTTCTTTTTGTTCTTGTTTTTCTTTATTTTTTGATAGTATTAGTTTCTTACAGATTGGTCAAGGAACTTACAGCAGTGTGTACAAGGCTCGTGATGTCACCCATAACAAACTTGTGGCTCTGAAAAGGGTTCGGTTCGATAACACGGATGTTGAGAGTGTGAAATTTATGGCTAGGGAAATACTCATTTTAAGAAGGCTCAATCACCCTAATATAATTAAGCTGGAGGGCTTGGTGACTTCAAGTACATCTTCTAGTTTGCATCTTGTGTTCGAATATATGGAGCATGATCTCACGGGCCTGGCATCACGTCCTGAGATTAAGTTTACCGAACCACAGGTACTTCAAAACTGGGTTTTCTTCAGTGTGATTGTAGTGATGTGTTTTTTCAGTTTAAAGGCTTCGTAACTTCAGATGTTTTTCTGATTTTGGCTTGTCATTTGATTTATTGTTTACATAAAAGCTTCTTCCACTAATGCTTCTTTTATGTCTAGGTTAAATGTTATATGAAGCAATTGCTTAGTGGATTAGATCATTGCCATAGTCATGGTGTTCTGCATCGAGATATAAAGGGCCCAAATCTTCTACTTGACAACAATGGCGTGTTGAAGATTTCGGATTTTGGTTTGGCAACCTTCTTTGATCGTAATAGAGACATTCCACTAACAAGTCGTGTTGTCACTCTTTGGTATAGACCTTTAGAACTCTTGCTTGGAGCAAGCCATTATGGAGCTGCAGTGGATTTATGGAGTGCTGGCTGCATACTTGGAGAACTTTATAATGGCCAGCCTATTATGCCCGGTAGAACGGAGGTATGATTGGGTTAAGGTTTTTTCATACTTTGTTCATTTGTTTTTAGCGTAGCTTTTCCCTCCAAACATATGTCCTCTAATGTTGTTCGATGCACACACTTCTTTTCAACTGTTTAAAAATGTAGCTGGCACTGTTGTTACTTGGGAATATGATCCTGGTGATTGTTGAATTGTCTTCGCCTCCTTCATGAAGATGGAAGTTTTAGTTATTGTCATCCACTATTTAAATGACTAGGGGACTTTCTTATGGAGTAAAAAATAGTTTCTTTTAATACTTTAAGGCTGAGTATTTTTTTGTAAGTTCACATTCACTTTGTATATGAATATTTCTGCAGGCAGCACCATTGTGATTGCAAGTTCCTAATGTTTTTGGTTTGGTTGCTTTTCTGCGCATTCTTATGTTACTTCTGATACTTGTGATGTGCACCTGTTTATTTTCTGTTTGTAAAATAATTCTCAGTTCTCTCATGAAGACATGTGATTATGGTCTTCTCATTTCTTTTCCTTTGCCCTTGTTTTTGTCCTCTGAGCTCATCAAGATGCAGCATTTCTTGTAGATTATGTTTCCAAGCAATGATACACAATACATTTATTGATTTTTTCTGTAGGTTGAACAAATTCACAAAATCTTCAAGCTTTGTGGCTCCCCATCAGAGGACTACTGGATGAAAGCAAAAATCCCAAAGGATTTTAAGCCTTCACTACCTTATAAATGCCGTCTTGCGGAAGCATTCAGGGATTTTCCTGCTCCTGCTGTGAGGCTAATGGAGGTTTTACTTTCCATAGATCCTGCACAACGTGGAAGTGCCGCTATGGCCCTTAGAAGTGAGGTATGTTCTCTCTCTATTTGCTTTAAAAAAAGAAATACTTTTGGAGAAAGGCACTATATAATGACATGTAATCAGGAGAAACCGTATGTTCAACTGTAGATTCACCCTGTTGTGTATCCTGCAATTAGTTTCTTCATTAAAAATATTATCCTCAATTTTGTAATGACCTTCCATCTAAAATATGCTCAAGTGTTACAAAGGGTTCAAGCTATTTTTTCTCATTAGATATATAGTGCTGCTTAATGGCTCATATTCGAGCATCTAAAAGCAAAATATGTTGGTGATGTCTTTTGAGTACCGTTGCTAGCTTAAACTTCCCATAAAATTCTCAATTGCTTACAATGAAGATTTTCTTATGTAAAAATTGTTGCTTTTCTTTCAGTACTTTAAAACAGAACCCTTTGCTTGTGATCCATCAAGTTTGCCTAAGTACCCTCCCAGCAAGGAGTTTGATGCAAAATTGCGAGATGAAGATGCTAAAAGGTACAATTTTAGTCTTGCAGACTTTCAGTTATTCAATGTGCCTTTTATTTCTGATTTCAGAAAAGGCGATTCTGGATCTGCAAGATCTGCACTTAATGAAATCTCATTTGATAGCATTTTCTGCAAATTTTGTAACAGGCGAGCTGCCTTAAGAGTTGAGGGCCACAAAGTTGATTCTGAAACTAGGGGATTGAAGGATATGCGTGATGCTCCAGTAGTTCCTGCTGATGCTTATATAACCTCAACAATGCAGGTAAGCAATGAGTATCCACTACTTAATTATGCATGTCTCCTTTCTTCTTTTGTTGCTTCCCTTGTCTGGTTGAAGCATTCATGGCTTGATGTACTTCCAGTTTCATTAGTAATTCAATTATTGGTCTTCGCACATAGTTTACCAAATGTCTTGAATTCCTGTTTCTTTATGTGTTAGTCAGAATCTTCAAGAAATGGAAATGTTGAGGAGTTGATTCTCAATTCAGTCCGTACTTAGCAACAATTTTTGTTCTGGTTTCCTTGACCAGAGTGGAATTCCAAAACCTATTAGTGCCTATATTGGATATGTTTGCAATTGCATATTATGTAGCCGAAATTGAAACTGGTATCAGTATGCATTTACTCATTTAAATACCACTGCTTATGTGAGATCCAAAGATTCTTGTGTGATTTTGAATGGAGCTTGGGCTGTCTTTCGAATGCAACATTTAGTGCTGTGAGCCTTGGATTCTCTGTGGAGAAAGTCCCCGGGAATTAACTTCTTTTCTTTAGACAGTGATTTCTCCGTACTTTGGTTATGTATTCTTGTATCGACATTCTTTGGCTTTGCAAGAAGTCAACTTTTGGAGCTAGTAACTTCATTCTTAATGTATCAGAAGAATGAATTGTCTGTGCATCATGTTTATTAAGTTGATACCTGATAATATTGAAGTTTGTGTTCATCAAAGATGGATATAAGTTACTGGTTTTGTAGTTCATTCGATTGCATTACTAATTGGAGGTCTTAATCCAAAAGATTTTAAGCGTCAGTAGGTGGTTGGGGTGTGGGGTATGTTTTTTGCTGCTCAAGTCTGTTCTTTATGGTTGTAATGATGTATTGTTTTTTACAGTCGTGAAATAATGTTTCGTTAGCTTATAAGAAGTTACAGTTGATTTAATAATTCCAATGCATAAAAGTTTCTTATTCTCTGTCTCAGAGGAGGCATGGTCATCCCAATCCAAGGAGTCGTAGCGGGATATTGAAGCCCCACAGTGATGAAGCAGCTGTCGATCCACCTAGACTGTTGAAAGATGCTAAAGAAACCAGTAAACCCATGGTGGAACATCCTCACCAGAGAACAACATCTTTCTCTGGCCCTTTGGGTCCTGGGGGATGGTCAGTGTCAGGAAAGAAATATGAAGATGTCACATTTGTCTCGAGAAATAATCTATCAACTTTGTCTGGCTTAGTTGCAACTCGGACTTTGGCTTCTGAAGATTCAAGAGAGAAGCTCTCAAGAGACAAGCTCAGACCTTCATACACAGTGAAAGAAAATCACTTTCAGGAATCTTTGAAGTCATCAGGTGAATCAGTAGTAAAGCAAGATCAGAGACATCGGATACAGAATGTATCTAGTTCTCGGTATACAGAAACAGAAAAGGCTACAAAAGGGCCAGTAGCGGTGAGTTACATTGCAGTTCTTCAAGTAACATCCTTTATTCCTTCCAAGTCAGATTGGCATGAAAAAGGATTCTCGTGTGACTGTCATGTTCTTGCTGTTTTTTAGTAATAATTTACCTGGTTTTCTAGCTCCTATGGGCATCGTTGACTGTTAAAAAGGTTTTCTTATCTACTTGCTGTCGTCGACAAAATTCTTGAGTATCAACTATCAAGTATGCAATGGATTTTTCTGGCTCTATGATTACATGATAATTTTCATCTGTCTCAAGTTTGCAAAAATGGAACTGTTTCCATGCTTTTATTAGCGATTTGAAGCCTTGGTTTATACTATCCTTCCTTGCAAATTAATTAAGCCATGCCAAGTTGGTAGTGTCCTAATTATGACTGTTCATTATGTTCCTCAGTATGGTCATCCTAGCAAGGGAAGCAAGATCCATTTCTCTGGTCCGTTAGGCGTCCCTCCCAACAAAGTGGATCAAATGCTGAAGGAACACGATCGGCAGATTCAAGAAGCAGCTCGACGAACTAGGCTCGACAAGACAAGAATAAACAGAAATGATGTCCAACATATGCAAACAACGACGAATGCTTTATACACGTCGTCTTACAAGGCAAGGTAGATTTTTTCCCCTGACATACTTAGGAGACACAGATAAAGAGGGTTCCGTATTGTATAAATTAAATAGTCCCTGTACAGATGTGAGATTGATTTTAGTTTGCTCGCCTTATTTACGGCTCATCTCACTTTGAGTAGTTTTAGATCACAATTTAATAAAGCAAATTGTGATGTAGATTTTGATATCTCCATTTTGTGCAAAGTGTATCTATGTTTTGGTAGCAGCCCTTTATAGCTTTGAAAGCCATTGCAGGTTATATATAAATTGAAGCTAGGTATCTTAAAGTATTTATGTTGCAAAGTGGATATGTTACTTTTTGAGCGGTAACTCTCAGGAATTGTAGTAACTCCCTATTTGTAGCAGAATGGATTTGGTAGATTATTAGAACAATCATAATTTCATGAAGACTAATAGAACACACTTTTAGGATTATTACATTTTATTTATTTATTGTCTTGGTGTGTAAGAAACTCACAGTCCCATTTCCAGTTGTCGAATAGGGAACATCGGTCGGCATGACGCAGTAACTTAATACAAAAGGATCACATTATGACAAGTTTTAGGGTTTAGTGGATGATTTCTAAGTGCTACAAAAAGTGAGTTGCCCAATGGGGTTGTCACATTTTGTCCCCAACTACTGAGTTGCTCAAATCAAGTCATTTACGTCAGCAACTCTTTTAAGTACGTTGATTGAGCGCAAATTAAAGAAAATTTACTCCAAACTGTGACGCCTCAATTTTTTTTTTGTTTTGTTTTTTCATGGAATTTTGTTGTAAAAGTTCATCCCTCATCATTTACGGAAAAGAAAAATCTAGAACAAACTTTCTCAGTAATCACTTAACACGATCGACTTTGAAAAGTATTTTCCTAAGTGTTAACACCAAGTCAAGATTTTTTTCCTCCGGCATTCTCCATGATAATCTCCTTATTCAGTTAGTAGCACTTCCAAGTTCCAACGTTCCAGAAAACCCACAACTAATTTGACTAAATCCAATCTTGATTGTATTACAACGGTACTCATATTCCATCCATCTAATATTTCAAAGTGATTAAACTAAAGCAAATTAAGCGCAGCAGCCTTCTTCGTAAAGTCCCAAAACAAAAGAGAAATGGCTTCTTCTTCTTCTTCTTCTTCCAAGGCGTTTCTTCTTTCTACATCTATGCTGATCTCTGTAACACTTCTCGTAATTTCTCTTCATTTTTCCACCGTGAATTCATCCGAGTTCGCGGTTGGAGGCGGTCGTGGATGGGTTGTTCCTCCGGCGAAAAACAGTGATTACTACAATGACTGGGCTTCAAGAAATCGGTTTAAAGTCAATGACACCCTAAGTATGTGTATCCATCATGCTCCCTTTTCTCTATCTACATTTATTTTAATTTTACCCAGGGAATCCTATAAGTTCAACACGCTATCAAAAAGTTGTTTATTTCATGCAAAATTTCTTTTTTAGATCTCTACACCAATTCAATTGTACAATATATTTAAACTTTAGTACAACTACGTTGTATAACTAAATCTGTCTCTTTTCTAATATATTAACGTGCGAATATATTGAACTGTTATTTGTACACGTGTTCTTGCTTACTTTTCCTTAGTCGATATATACTATTTGAATAGTATTTAACCAAACTATACGTTACATTCTGGATTGTTTTAGTGGATAATAATAAGCATGCACTAGATGTTAATCATTGCTAAACGATTTTCAGTAAATTAATATAATTTTTTTTTTTTGTAATTTCTAAAAAATTCAAATGGAAGTTCTAGTTCCTCATGAATTCAAGTGAAGTGTATGCATTGTGTATTTTGTAGGTTTCAAATTTGGAAAAGATTCGGTTATGGTGGTGGATGAGGGAGATTACAAGAAATGCAAATCAGTCCATCCCTTGTTCTTCTCAAACAATGGCAACCACACTGTGTACACATTGGATCGACCCGATCTTTTCTATTTCATAAGTGGAGTTTCAGGCCACTGTGAAAAAGGGCTCAAGATGATCATCAAGGTCTTAGACACCGAATCTCCTCATCACTCAGCTAATGATCGATCTGCAAATGGTGCAATCTCGTCATTGTCCTCATCACACTCGATTCATGTAACAATTTTTATTTTAGCATTCTTTCAGGCAGTTTTCATGTAAATGTTTTGTTTCGTTATATTAGTTAATTTTATCGGTACCATAATAAGAGGGATATTTTGGTGAATTGATCATTCCTTTATCTAACTAGTTTCACAATATATACTATATATATTATGGAATATGGATGAATGAAGTGCTATTTTTTTTGGTGTTTTGAGATTGCAGCTATTAGACATTTTCCTTTTTTGCCATTTACCTGTTTGTTTTGGTTCCATTTTTTTTTTCCGCATAACTTTTTAGTTTTTATTTTTTAATTTTTTATCGATCATTTCTTCTCCTGATTCTTTCCTCAGATTATTTACCTACTGTTTCAGATATGATCTCGTCAGCTACAGTTCTAGAATTATAAGATTTTTAGATTCATTATGAAATGAAAGGAGAAAAGTAGACGACAAATAAATCAATAATTAATCAAAGGTTGGAAGAAAATACAACTGGATGAAACTATTTTTGGGTTTTATTATTGTCTAGCGAATGTGTAAAGAGATAAGATGATACTATGTCGATCAAAAGCAACACAAGTTGATTTTTTTTTTTTTTTGGAATAATATTGGAATAGCAATTTGTGTTTGTGGATATTATAATTAATATAAACTTCACTAATTTGCCAGCTTTATTAACAGCAAGTGTAATTATATTCAAATAACCATTTCTTTCGACTAGGCGTAATGTAATGTCACCATTGAGAATTTTTATTTTTGAGCAAAATGTTGGACAATGATGTTTCCCAATTTCCAAAACTTGCAGCCGTACATTCTCTATTCGGCACTTTGGCTACATTTGTAAATAATCTTTGGATGTACTTCCTCTGTCTCAAAATTATTGTCCTGTTTGAATTTTCACTTTTAGTATAATTTGAACTAAAAAATGAAAATCTAAACTGGACAATAATTTTGAGACGGAGGAAGTATAATTTTCCATTTTGTTGACATAAAATAACACAACAGAGTGGAATAGTTGTTAACACTTTGTTAATGGAACCATCAATATGTATTTGATTTGTCACATTAATACATTTAAGGGCCATCTATCAAGCTTCTGGTGTAATTTGCAACCAAAGAACGCACTATACACTATCTTGATTCTTGACTTAAAGTTACCACTGAAGGGCATTGGCAAGGCTAATCCTAATATTTGAACTATTTTTTTTTTTTTAATGAAGCAATTGAACTAAGGTTTTAGAACCAGGAGTTTTAAAGTTTGATTTTTATTTTTGCAATGTTTTTTACTCTTCTATCTTAATCCTCAAATTAAGAGAACAATGAAACAAAGTCACAATTACTTTAATGTGTAAATAAATTGCATTTTTGATGATATGAAATTAGAAAACAAAGTTCAACAACAATTAAGGACTGAAAAATAAAACTAATTTGAAGCAGATTTCAGATGAGCGATTTAACTTCTTTGACGATTACAAATTTTCAGAAATTATATCATCACCAACATGAATCATATTGTGAATGGAATACGAAGGAAATCAATGCTTTTGCCTCCTTCATTTGCACCAAACGAAAAGTAAAAATGAAATTAACTTAATCTAATCTATCGCGTAAATCCTCGGACATCTATAACATAATTCGTCTTAATCTTGCATCCACTATCTAATTAAACTGAGTTGGACTCTAATAATTAATGTTTAACTAGAGTCCCAGAGTTTATCCTAATCTTAAAAATTAAAATATGATCCACATCACGAACTCGGACTCTAATAGGCGGAAAATTGATAACGTGAGTACGAACTACACGTAAGGCTTATCTTTTGATTTGGACAATTACTATTTAATTAATCCCAAGTCGAAACTGACATTAGCGTTTTCTTTTGCACTTATAATAATTCCTGCCAATCAGGTGTTCAGCTGGTGCCAATGTGATAAGGCGATTCTCAATAATTCATGCAAAATAAATTTTTATTATATTTGATGCACTTTTTCTTATTTTAATAATTACCGGGCGAAAGTGTTTAAAGAGTAGTAATATGATGTGACAACTTCCTTTATTAAAATTGAAACGTAAAGAAGAAAACGAAAGAATTAACAAGTAGCTATTAGAAAAAGAGAAAGAAATTGGGGACCGAGGTTGTAGTTCGAAGATAAACTACTCTTGCTTTCCAATAGCATTGAATCCAATTTTTCCTGGCAATACAGAAGTATTGGTTTTCAAATGCGGGAATATGCAATTTCGACTTCCCGAATCCATAAGGTGATTTGCCTTTTATTGTTGCGTGTCATAAAGTTGTGGATTTATCTATCTTTATTGGAGTCGATATTGAATAAAAAAAGGAAAAATCATATATGCAATGAAAATGAATAATGAAATAAGACAGAAACTAATATGGTATATGTATATTTACTTAATCGATCGCTATCATATTAGTAGTTATGAATTTAGTACGATAATATATATATATATATATATATATATCCGAACTAGAGTATTTTCTGATTTTATTAATTTAAAATAAAAATTATAAAGGCAGTGCTTAAGACTTACCTGAATCCAAAAGAGACCGTCGTACAAAAGTTCATCCAGTAAACTCTATGACGGTTCTTAATTTTCTATTATAAGAAACTGCCTTACATAGATGTACTATTATCCCTTGACAGTTCTTTTTTTAAAAGCTATTAAAAATTATACTAGGAACTGTTTTACAAAGGGTTATAAACCTCCACAACAGTTCATTTATTTATTCTATATATCCTAAACTACTTAACGTATTCTAAGATAAGGGAAAGATATTTGGTCTAGATATACCAGACCTCTCAAAAATCTTAGTAAGTCCAAGAGTCTGTTATATTGTGTATGCTTGTTTTGAAAGATCGTCCGCTACACAATTGATTTCTCTAAAGATATGTTGGATTTGATAGTTTTGATTTCTCTTAAAGCGTAATGATGCTGCCAAGGGAAGGCTGTACCATTTTTCAACAATTGAGAAACCATTTAATTATTTGTTTGAATGAGCACATTCCTGAAGCCTTGATCTTCGTACCATTTAATTCCATTGAGAATTCCTTCAATCTCTGCTGTGATGTTAAATCCTTCACCCATGTATTGACTTGCAGCTCTTATAAATCTCCCTTGCCCCCCTCTCACAACAGAGCCCCAACCAGCTTGCCCTGGAGCTCCAAGCGCCGTCAGTAGTTAGAATTATCTGTCCAGCGTTGGGAGGCTTCCACGACAAAGATTTTCATTGTTTTTGTTTTGGCCCTTTAATGTGTACTCTATCTTATCATGAATCTCTATTTTATCTCATTATAAATTATTATTGTCTTATTGCAAAGAGAGAAGAACAAAATCCGCTGTAGATGGCTATCTTGAATGTTCCATCTTTTTCCATTTTTTAATATTTCCACTATTTTGAAAATCTTTGGAAACAGTCACTTTAGTTTTGGTTTTAAACAAGACAAGTGATTGTGCAAATAATGTGCAATAGGTAAAAGGAAAAAACCACTTTATGTACCTTATGAGTAGGGGGTTTTCAAATTATATATCCTACTAATTGATCTCCCCAAATTATGTATCTTATGTTTGAAATTTGTTGTTTTAAATACTTTTTCAAGAGCGAAATGGGAAACTAACAATTTTTTTTCCTAACCTACGTTGTTGCCCCCAAACTTCTAGAAGAGATCAAATTGCACCATTAATTTTATTAATTTTTTTACAAAAGTTTATCTTTCTATAAGATTTCAGAAAATTTCACCTAAATTTTTGGTCAAAAATTTCCTACGACTTCCGGTACTTATTATATTTGACGTACATATTTTTTTTATTATAAAGCATTTTTCTTTATTAGTATTTTTATTTATATTTTTATTCGTCATTTTGTATGATTATTTTAAAAATATTCTTTTAGTTCTTCCTTTTCTTTTGATACTTTTTTGTTCAAGTTTTTCGCACTTTGATGCATTTCTAGTAACACATAATTTTTTAGATTTTATCTAAAATATAAATATAACTTATAATAAGAAAAAAATAGCTAAAATAAAAAATATGTACATTAAAAAGAATACGAGTTTATTTTTATTATTTTAGCTATGTTTTCCTTATATTTTAGGCAAATAAAAATAAAATAAAAAAATAAGTATAATTTCTAGAAATGTGTCAAAGTACCAAGACCTTGAACAAAAAGTACAAAAGGGAATATAAATATATTTTTTTAAATAATCATGCAAAACGACATATAAAAATATAAATAAAACTAATAATAAAGAAAAACTCGGTAGAATAAAAGCAATATGTACGTCAAAAACAATATACATTGGAAGTCATGGGAAACTTTTGACTAAAAAACTAGGTTCAATTTACTGAAATCTGACAGAAAGATAGATTTGTATAAAATTCATAAAATTTATGGTGTAATTTGCTTTTTTCCAGAAGTTTAGGGGAAAAAACGAAATAGGTTAGGACAAAAATTTATTAGTTTCCCATTTTGCTCTTCAAAAAGTACTTAAAACAATAAAACTCAAACATAAGGTACATAATTTGGGGAGACCAATTCTTAGGGTACATAATTTGGAAATTCTTTATTTTTAGGATACATAAAGTGGCTTTTTTCCTAGGTAAAATTTATTTGGTTAAAATTGGTTTCTTTCAATGAAAGTCACGTGCAGTGCACGTGACACCACAACAGGTTTTTTTTTTTTTTTTTTTGTTGAAACTAAATACTACAACGGGTTAGTCATTCATTAATCAGAGAAACAAATGGGTTATGGTTATGTTTCAATGTAACTTTAACAAAATTATTCTCATTTTAAACGAGAAGGTTATAAGTGGCGTTATTTCAAAGTCTATATAAATTAGAGTACAAGTTTTGCTTCTTTCATTATACCAAAGAAAAATCTATATAAATTTATGAAGCTATATTACCAAAAAAATCTATATACCAAAAAAATCTACATTTTCAACAAAAACCAAACATCAAAATGAGGAAAAAAAAAAATCCATGACAGAGTTCGATCGTGCATTTTATGTGCCTACTAGTAGGAATTAAACGTGCGCACGTTACTACTAGATACTATTATACTCCGTACTAAATCTAAACGAAGGAAAAAGAACAAAAAACACAACCAAAAAACGTGCTCCAATTCGTAATAAATCAGGAAAATAAAATTTTAAAAATGGACAAATTGCCATTATATGCTAGGTCCCCCATAATAAGTCCTTAATTCTTCAGAAACCAATCATGATAAATGTCTGAAAATTTTCAGCTTCAACCACCGCGAACCGGCCATGAAACTTCCAGCTCCTCATCCACTTCATTTTCACGTTTTCTTATTGCCCTTCAATATATATATATATATATATATATATATATATATATATAATGTCCCCAGGGAAAAAAAAATCAAAAAGCGAAAAAAAAAAAAAAGAAAAGAAGAAGAAAAGCGTGACGATACTCCTTCAACACACTCTCACATTTCCACTATAAAAATGTCTCACTTTTGCCACTTTTTGCACACCCAAACTGAAGCAGCACCCCTTAGCCACAGCCAAAGTTAAGTTAAATACAAGCTTTTTTTTTTAATTAATTTAAAAAAAGAAAAACAAATGGATAACTTCTCCGGCCAGCCGGAAAACTCTGAGGAACTGATATTTGGGTTCACCGAGGAACTCATGGGGGAAGGTTCATGGAGCAGCTCTTCTAGTACTACTTCTGTTGAAATTGATGACGGAGCAATAACTGATGAGGAAAATGAAAACGATGAAAATTCAACCAATGCCGAGGAGGAATCTAAGGCGTTTTGGGAATCTCAAGAGGATCTTCTTACGGTATATTAGTTCAACAAAGCTGACTATTTTTTATTTTTTTTTCCCGGAATTTAATATTATGTTCGTAGGTGTAAGGTGTGTACTAACGTTTTGTTTTCATAAATTTTTGGGATAGCAGACAACGCTGTTTCGGACTACTTCAATGGAGTCAAAGATCAGGCAGGCAACTAAAGATGCAATGAAAGAGATGAATTTGGGCGGTTTCATTTGTTGTGTTTGTGACAAGAAGAAAATTGAGGGTACCAAGAGTTGCCAGGATTGTTTGCACAGAGAAATCTCCGGTCGCCTAAGAATGGAAGGGTACAATTGTAATATCCGCAAGTCCAAGTGGAGGAACTCATCTGATATTCCATCAGGTAAATATTTAAATAAATCTTAATTACTTACCATGTATACGAATTGTTTTATAATTTCTTTTTTTTTTTTATGTGGTCTTCAAATTCTTGTTAGAGAATATATATCGCATATGGTCCTCTATATATTTTGTCTTTTCCGAAATATGTACATCAACTTTCAACCGCCTCTAAAAAAAAAAAAAAAAAAATCCTTTAGTTGTTGCTTCGATTCAATTTTATTTCATGTTTCAAATGTCATTATTAAACTTCAATTAATAGGACACTCAGGTCAGAAAGTAAAATTGTATTCGCAATTTCACTTTTTAATAATCAGATTATCTTTGACTGGAACAATACATAATATAATATTAACGATTAGTTTTCTTGAACACGGCGTCTAATATATCCTTGGCTACGTTGGCTTTGATTTATGCAGGAGATCACACATACTTGGAAGTAGTGCAAAACACATCAAGTGGTAAAGGAGCGATGAAGATAATCATAGAGCCAAATTTTAAGGCACAATTCGAGATGGCTAGGGCAAGTGAGGAATACAAGCGATTGATCAACAAATTGCCGGAAGTTTTTGTGGGGAAATTTTGTAGGCTCCAAAATTCAGTGAAGATATTATGTGCAGCTTTGAAGAAAAGCATGAAGGAGAACAAAATGCATATGGCCCCATGGAGGAAGCACAAGTACATGCTGGCCAAATGGCAAGGATCACCTGATAATTATTGTTATGAACAATATCAACTGAAAATGACACCAAATATGTCACCAGTTATTAGCCATTTAGGCAGGTCCACAACAAGGCCTAGAGCATCGCTGCTTACCTTTGATTTGTTAGATACTTTGAGAGTTATCCCATCATCCACAATGATCAAAGTGGGATGATTTTTTGAGGAGATGCTGCAAATTTTAGGTTTTTAGTTAGTTTCGACCAGTTTTGTTATCGACCCGAGTTAATTTCGATTTTGGATTGTCTAAGTTTGATCTTGATCTTCACTTCTTCACATAAAAAATAAAAATTTAAAAAGTAGTCTAAAGAAGTTTGAGATTCTCTTTTTATGAACGTCTCCACAAAAAGTCGCATCGTCTAAGTTTGATTTTTTGAACAATCTAAGGTTTTTTCGTTTACGAGCTTTTACTCTAACACATGTATATGCTTCACAAAATACACAAAAACACAAAAAAAGTGCCCTAGTTCGCATAGTTTTAAACATGACAATAAAGAGTAGTTAAAATGGTACTTCAACAAAAAAAGGGCCTAATAATAATAATAGCTAGCTCATGATGTTTAACCAAACAAATTTAACAAAGTTAATTATTAATGTACAACGGAAAAGGAAGTTGTTTCATTTCATAGAACTTTCGTTCAACATTAGTTTTCAATGGATTTTCCCACGAAATGAGGCATTATAGATTGATCTCTCAACATTAGGGGTGTGCACCGGCCGGTTTGGCCGGTTTAAACCCTTAAACTGAAACCAAACCAGAATATACGGTTTGCAATTAAACTAAACCGAACTGGCCGCAGAGAACTTGAGAGCAAACTGACCGGACTGGATTTTAACGGTTCAGTCTAGCTGGTTTATACGGTTTGAGGCCAAGAAACTTTCATGTTGGACCCAATCAAAATAATATAATATCAAGCCTAATTCCATCAATTGAACGAAGGCCCAACACCCCATAAAAGATGAAGTTAGAAAAAAATACCGCAAGGAAATTTTAAAATTAGGACCTCTAACATCAAACCCCACATGTTCCACTAAGCCAGTGTGTAACTTGTGATATCTAACGAAAGTAACTTTATGTATATTAATACATATATATGAATATATATAAAAATATAAACAGTCCGGTCCGGCCAAAACGGCCGGTCTCATGAATGAAACTGTGATCGGACCAGATTGCCCAGTTTGAAATTTTTCCTGGCGACTGGCTGAGAATTCTTTCTTCCAAACCGGCCAAACCGGTCAAATCTATACAGTTCGGCCGGTTTGGCCAGTTTTGGCCAAACCATGCACACCCCTACTCAAAAGACGTGCAAGTTGTAATTAGTAGTACTTCAGTTGAAAATGAAGAGTCCATTGGTTAAATGAAATATAGTTCTATGGTAAACTATTTTTCAATACATTTTAAATTTACAAAATTCAATTAATTAGCAATTGGGCATGCAAATATAAATTGAATGTTAATAAACCCTTGCCAATCTGAAAATGAAAAATTAGATCTTAAATTTCTACACTAATAATTTTAATTAGTTACCACTGATCGTTTGATCGATCATCGTCGAAACGGTCAGATTCCGTACATCTCTGGGTATGAGTGGTTAATCCACACAAATGAACATATGCATACGTACTTTTTTTTTTTTTTTTTAAATTTCCATACGTCACAGGTTCCATCCTATTTTCTAATTTTAAATTCTAGTAACTTGTAACTCTGACCAAAAGAGAGTTTTGGAATATGTCGATATATTTCTCCTAAACATGAAAATTTAAGCGATTAATCTCTTCAACTAATTAATTTCATTCCAATCCAGATTTGTTTTGAAAGTCTTTGGCAGATTCTCTACGGAGAGTTGAGAGTTGAGGCTTGCCTCAGCTGGGTGAGTTTTGCCACATTACTTTTTTTTTTTTTTGATAACCTGTGAATTTCATTTCATCTCAAAAAAACATATGTATAGTGTGTTCACATTAACAAAATGCCAAGACTAACAAAAAATTAACATTATCACCACTTCCATTTCTATACATATGAACTATTCTCCATTTCACCTCTTGCTGGATTTTCCTTGCTCTTGTCTCAGCCACTTCTGCTTTCTGTTGAAACAGTCTAACATTCCTCTCATTCAAGATATGATATATCACAGCATTCAAACAAGCAAATAGTACTCTCCTTTGAACAACATTGTACTTCCACATGTGCAGCAACCTTGTAGCATTTAGAGTACTGACTTTAGTTCTGATTCCTAACCACTGAGTCATCAATGTCATCAGTTCCTGAGCATAAGAACATTTGAAGAACAAGTGACTAACTGTTTCGGTCTCTTTCTCACATAAGATGCAGTTCTAATCTTTGACAATAATCTTCATACTCCTCAGTCTATCCTTGGTGAGTAGCTTGCCTCTCCATGCTAACAATGAAACAAAGCTGTGCTTAGGAATAGAGAACTTACTCCAACAGATTGGTGCTGGTTTGAACTTTTCTTTGATCCCTCTAAGCCATGTATAGCCACTTCTTATATCATATGGTTTACCAGCATTCCTTGTCCATTGACCATTTACTACTGCACTTTCTAGATCATCTTTAACCTTCATCAATCTCCTCCAATGCCAGCTGCAATCATGTGGAGGATCATAATTCCAAATGCTTCTACCTTTTAAGTAGTAAATGTCCATCCATCTAATCCAAAGATTGTCCTTCTTTAACTCCAAATCCCATAGTTGTTTACCCAACAAAGCTTTGTTCCAATCATCAGGATGTTTAATATTTAGTCCCCCTTGTATCATTCTACAACAGAGATCATTCCATGCTACTAAAGGCAAACATTTGCCAGATTCTTTGTCCCCCATAAAAACTTCCTACAAGCTGTAATCTGAGTTATGAAAGACAGAGGGATAAGGAAGATGCTATCCCAATAGGTGTGGAGTGTCATCAGAACAGAATTGATTAATATTGTTCTTCCAACATAGGAGAGATGTCTAGATTCCCAACATTTGATCATGGAAGTTACCTTATCAACTAAGTATTGACAGTCTGTTTTACTCCAAGAAGTAGGAGCAACAAGAAGCCCTAAATACTTCATTGGAAAAGACCCTATATCAAATTCCATCAACTGTATGATTATCACCTGAGTATTTCCACTTGAACGACCAAAGTAAAGATTGTACTTCCTTTCATTTATTTTAAGACCAGTGGTGCTAGCAAAATGTTCCAAAGTGGCTTTAACCTTCTGTATAGTTCTTATCTTAGCTCCACAGAATATTAGTAAATCATCAGCAAAGCTTAATGATGTGATATTCAATGCCTCACAGTAGGGATGCTTAAAAAATCTTCTTTACTGGCCTCCATTTTGAAACATCTTGTTAAGTAATCCATAACCAATACAAAGAGCAGTGGAGACATGGGATCTCCTTGTCTCAATCCTCTTTGTCCTTGGAAATAACCAACACTGTTACCATTTAGATTTGTGAGTAAGAAGATGAAGTAACACATTCCATAATCCACTTCCTGAATCTTGGGGAAAACTTATATTCCTTTAACATTTCTTCTAAAAACTCCCAATGGACATAATCATAAGCCTTTCTCAGATCAACCTTCATCATACAGGATGGCTTAACTGATTTCCTGTTGTTAAGCCTGATTAGTTCCTGAGCCAACAAGATATTATGCAATATTAGCTGTTCTGCACAAAAGCTCCCTGATTAAGGTCTACTAGTTCTGGCAGAATGATGCTCAATCTTTTACAAATAATCTTAGAGATGCGTTTGTAAACAGTATTGCAACATGAAATTGGCCTGTATTCGTGGCATTTCTTGACATTCATTCTTAGGAATTAAGGCAATAATGGTAGAGTCAATCTGTTTCAACAATTTACCAGTTTTGAAGAATTCAAGCACTGCTTCACTGAAATCATCTCCCACTACATTCCAAGCCTTCTTATAGAATCCACTGCCGAAATCATCAGGACCAGAGCGTTTATTTTCATCAATGCTAAAAAGGGGTTCCTTAACATCTGCTTTAGTGAAATATTTACTTAGGAGAACTTGCTGGAAAACAGTTAGTTTCAGTTCTGAATTAAAGGATTCACTCTTAACAGTTGTTCTTGCAACCTTCATTCCCAACAACTCTTTATAGTAACTCAGAAAATGGTTTACCACTTTAAACTTCTCTTCCACCAATTCCTCATTTTTTGTCACATAAGATTTGATTCTGTTTCTATTCATCTTTTTGCTTGATTGCTGCATGAAAGTACTTAGTATTCATATCACCTTCACATATCCATTTCTCTTTCAATTTTTGAGCCCAAAAACTCATGACTGCTTTTGATGCCATATTATAGTCCAGAACAGCTGCTTTTTCTAGTTTCTGGTTCTCCTCATTTAAAGGATCCTGCTTAGTTGCTTCCTGAGCTCGTTCCATTTTAATTCTGCATTCCTGCTCCTTTTCTTCTATACTAGCAAAGTTCCTCTTGTTAAAACCTCTGAGGATTGGTTTCAACAGTTTCTGTTTCCTGATTAGTATAAATTGTTTGGTTCCTTCAACTTCTTGCTTCCAACCCTGATCAACGGTTGTCATAAACTTTGGATGTTGTGCCCACATGTTGAAGTATCTAAATGCTCTCTTAGCTTGCTTAGCTGCTTCTCCCCATCTGACTAAAAGAGCATTGTGATATGATATTCCAGCAGGCAGTATTGTACAATAGGCATTAGGGAATTTTTGCACCCAATGATCATTTACAAATACTCTATCTAGCTTGGAAAATAGTCTCAACTGTCCAATTTGGTTGTTTGTCCAAGCAAATCTGCCACCATAAGTTTGCATTTCCCACCACTCATTATCTTCAACCATCTGTTTATACTTCTCAGTATCAGGACTTAACTCATTTACACCTCCAAGCTTGTCCTCTTTCTGCCTGATACAGTTGAAGTCTCCCAGGATAATCCATCCCCTGCAACATTTGTGGAGAGTTGCCTCAAATCATTCCACACACTTTCCCTTCTTTGAGCATTATATTCTGTATACACTATAGTCATGAAGAACTCTTTTGTACCACTTATTTCTTGTATATAATAGTGAATATATTGTTGAGTTACATATTCCACCCTGGCTGTATATTCTCCCCTTTTCCACATCACTAAGATTCTCCCTTTATTTCCACCTTCACTATTCTCCACATAATCATATTGATTCCACTTTCTCTTCATCAACTCCTCCATCTTCTCTTTATTTAGTTTGGTTTCAAGTAATCTTGCAATTCCAACATTATTCACAGAGAGGAAGTTCCAATCTCTCTGTGTTTTAGGGGACTATTGAGTCCCCTTATATTCCATGAAGTGATGTTATTCATGGTTACTAGGCCCTGGATCAGGGTGACTAGAATTTGAATAACAAATTGTATTAACTGATCTAA